CAGCGGCCCCTGGCGGGCAGGGCATGTACTGCAGAAGGGCAGGAAAACGTTCTCATCCCGTGTGTGAGCACGCACAGTGAACACGCGCAGATTTACGGATGGCACGATTCCGGGAAAAAAAGAAAAACAAATATGACTAAAATAAAACCGGCAAAAGTAACAAAAGACGGAGACTGTGCTTGAAAACCAACAGACAGCAATGATGGTTACCTAAAAGAGAATTCGATCACAATGCCATGAAACACCAAGGTGTGTGCTAGTACCACAGGTGTTTTCAGCCTTGTACTGAGTCACTGCCAATTTAAATGTAAAAGTCACAGTGCTGTTTGGGATGATGTGTGTAACTGAGCATGGAAGCCAAGAAGAGTCATCTCATGAGATTAGAAAGACCTTTGACAAGCATAGAAGATCATCTCCAAGCAGCTTGAGGTTCCTTTGACCACAGTTTGATTTATTCCGAAGTTTAAGGACCACTTTGGATGTTGTCACAAAAGTAAAATAGATGACGTGGGAAACAGAAACGGTATCAAAGTGATCAGAAGAAAGAACGAGATCGCAGATACAAGCAGCCAAAATGAGTTTTCTCCACAGGATGGCTGGGCTCTCCCTTAGAGATAGGGTGAGAAGCTGGGTCATCAGGGAGAAACTCGGAGTAGACCCGCTGCTCCTCCACATTGAGAGGAGCCAGTTGAAGTGGCTCGGGTATCTGGTCAGGATGCCTCCTGGACGCCTCCCTGGAGAGGTTTTCTGGACACGTCCAACCGGGAGGAGACCTAAAGGATAACCCAGATCAAGCTAGAGGGACTATGTCTCTCGGCTGGCCACAAAACACCATATTCCCCCGAAAGAGCTGATCCAAGTGGCTGGGGAGAGGGAAGTCTGGGGCCTCTTGACTTTGGCTGCTGCCTATAGTGACCTGAGCCTGGATAAGCGACCAAAAATGGATAGATGGATGGATGGATGGATGGATGAGGGAGGTCTGCATCTGTGCAATCTGGTTCCAGAAAACATACACACCCCTCATCCACAAAACTATGATGTTAAAAGCGAAACTGTGCTTTGATTGAATACTTTTTGCACTTATTTGTAAGTATAAATCTGTTTTTGTGGAATGGAATCTATTATAGACGCTGTGGACATATGCTTGGATGAGGTGTTTTAATACATTCAGTGCTTTTTCAGCTCTTTTTTGGGTGCTTGAGTGGATGCAGATGGTCACTGATGCTCTGGTCTTGGATTGTGGAATCAACCAGCCAATTAACTGATATAAAGCTCTCCTCAGAACTTAGGAACAGTGCAACATAATCCAGAAAGGGAGTGATATTGAAGCACATGCAGCTGGAATGTTCAAGCTGGGATTCCCCGTGACTGCACGGGAAGTTTGGGAAGTTGAAGAGAACTGACAGGAAGTGTATTCTTAGTAAGGACCATCATCATGTAGAACGGGACAGAAAAGGGAGCTAGCTTACATTTACCATCTGCGCTTCTTTTTCTTTTTTCTTCTTTTTTTTTGGTTGACCTCCCACCCAAAAAGAACACTTCATTGCACACACCAGGATGCAAATGCCCTTATCATTAGGAATGCTATCAGAAGGTGGTGGTAAGCCAAAAAGAGTAAATCATGTGCACACGGTAGGATTTTGTCACAGGATGCAGATGTCACCACATGAAGTGAAACTTCCTGCCCATTAAAGCAGTCAGGGCCTGTTTAATGGACTTGCAATCTGCAACCCACAACAGAAGGTGGGTATGGGTTGATGGAAATAAGGCAAGAAAATCTAAGAGGGAGAGATCGTGAAGGGAAAGAGGAAAGAGCAAGTGAGGAGGGACATTGTAGGCAGAGATGTGATGGAGCGATACGTGGATTGCAACAGGAAAAATCTCTTTGTCTCTCCTGAGCTGAGTGGACAATCAAAGTTTCCTATCAGCTCTGGAGTAGGGGAAATTGGCTGCCCTGGGAAGGAGAGGGCCACTCTCACAGCCAATGGGAAGTGCCCCTGTCACTCTAATCAGGTCTGATAGAGAAAGTAGGAAGCCAGTGTGTGTGTGCTTAAAGGAGAGTGTGTTTTAACAGAGAGCAGCTTTGTTTCACTTGTCTCTGTGTGATTCGAGATGATACAAAGTCTGGAGTGGTGTTAGACCTTCATCTGCAGCTTATCCTTCACTCTAAAGGACATACATGAGCCACTCGGTGCGTGTTTTGGCAAAACCTGCTTTGAGAAGCATGACCATCAGTGCTTTGATGGAGCGCCATGTGGCAGAGATCAGTGGGTCTTAGTGGGAGCTGTGGACAGTTGCACACAAGGGCGGCAGGGGGAGAGGATTAGTGTCTCATCAATACAAATCCATACGGAGAGGGTGGTTGACATCAGTATGCACACAGATGGAGACAGGATGTAAACATCTTCAGAGAGGGAAGATGACTTTGGACTTTGGTTCTGGCTGGTTTTTGTGTCATCCATCTTTCCTGTTGACCCCCCCGCCCTGTCCCCACCTCCTCTATGCCAGACAAGAATGCATCTCTCGGCACCCAGAACCCAATCCTACGTTTGAAGTTGCATCTCCATCTCTGAGCTCACCGAGCTGTCCTTGCCTTTCCTCCGCCTGTCAGACCGTCTGATCCATCAGCTCCTCCCCGCCTCCTGCAGCTGCACCGAGGGCCACAGACGCCTTCATTGTCCTCCTCTTCCTCACCCTCACGCTTCTGCACCCGGCCACATCACACCTGCCACCTGCAGAGCCCTGGGAGCAGAGCTGCAGGGGCTTTCATCCACTCCTCACATCACCTCTCAAAGCCTCTCATCCCCTCATCCCAGCACCCTGTCACTGAAGAATGGCCGGTGCAGAAGGCCGGGGCAGAGCGGCACACAGGGCTCCCGTTGTGGAGGCGCGTGTTTAAAGCAGAGCCAGAGGGAATCAGCACAGGTGAGGCGTGTGTCTGAGGGGGAGTTCTGTTTAAATTCAACTCGTGTTTCTTCTATTTGACACCCAACTACGGCAGCAGGCTCGGAGGACTTGAATGAGATTTAGCCATGAGGAACCTGGACCTGAGAGTGTGTGCATAATAACACAGTGACAGTGAGGGTGGTGGCTCTGTCTCAGTGATTTATGAGAGTGTGCCATGAAGGGTCTTCTGAGCAGGATATTGTTCCCTGACTGTTGGCTTCTACCTGTGTGTGTGTGTGTGTGTGTGTGTGTGTGTGTGTGTGTGTGTGTGTGTGTGTGTGTGTGTGTGTGTGTGTGTGTGTGTGTGTGTGTGTGTCAGAGCAAGAAAGATTAAGAGCGAGAGGACTGCAGGTGAGCTCTCAACGTAATCAATCACCACCACGTCTCAAGGCCCAGAACTTGTGGAGAACACATTCACCTGATATCTCGTTTGACTTTGCTTTTCTTTCGTTTTTTTATTTATTTATTTTTTGCACATGCATTATTTTTGGCAGATTTTTAAGAAAGCTCAAAGACTGAATCATTACTAAACTCCAAGAAAGCAAGACAATAATCAAGCCCGTACCAGAGGGGGATCATGACAGCTCAACCACATGGCCCAACCAGTCCTAAACCCCAGCATCCACCCCAGGCTCACACATGCACACACACGGTTTGCCACATCAGGATACAGTGCTGCACATGAATTCCGGTTTAAACAGTATTCTGCTCAATGTACAGCAACAGATCAACCGCAGGCCGGGTGCGACCGGTTTTCGTATCCTGGGCTAGAACTGAGAAGACTGCACCCTAAGGTGAGACTCATAAAACCGATCACGTTTGCTGATGTGATCAGGAGCCACGGGGTCAAGTTTGAGTTTGGATGAACAAAAGAGCCAACAGCTAAGTTAGAAAAGCGTCCATGCACACGTTTGATGGTCTGTGTGAATCACGTTTAGGCTAATTATTTTAAGGGTTTAGCTGCAACTATAAACTCAGAACTAATTCACACTTCCTACATTTAGCTAGCTTCCAGAAATACTTTTAAAATAAGGATTTGATCCTCTCACACAAAACTGTTATTCATTTCTCTTTAGATGATTTTGTATTTGTGCCTATTCATTGTGTATGGGTTCTGTTTTTTATGCCTTATTGTGCTTGTGCTGTGACTGGTGCTTTTTCCTGCAGGAAGTGGCCATCAGTAGATGGTTCCACTGTGCAACAATACTCAGGTAGGCTGTGGTGTTTTTAACCAGGCTCAGTTGGTACAAATGGGTCCAAAGTGGAGCAGCAGCAAGCTGCGGGTTGGCTCCATGAGTCTGTGTGAATGTTAGCCTCTCCTTAGCTGACAAGTGTCCCCTACTGCTGTTATTCTCCACTTATTTATCCTCAAACTGAATAATTTAATATATTAATTAATCCAGCACACAGTAATCTGATCATATCCTTGCAGATTAGAAAGCAGGCACAAGGCAGTCACGTGTTGATGCTGTTGTCACCTCGCTGTGAGAATCAGTCTCAAACATAAACAAAACGTACCATTGTGTGGCCTTTCACTGCCGCCGAGCGAAGGCGCTGACGGACATTGTCTTTGTTTTCTAGTTGTCATGTATTTTCAGAATTATTGTACAGCACATACAATATGTGAACGCCGTCATTGTGAGAGGAGTGAGGCTGTTATTATGGAGCAGGAAATGACCTGCCGGGACCCCTGGTGACCTTGCAGGGAAAGCATTGACCTCAAGCTGACCTTTGTGTTTGTCCTGAGCTGCAGACTTTACCGTAGGCAGGTCTGCTGCTCTGCCAGCTGAGGAGAAAGGGCGATAGGTGGGGTTGCAACCAAAGCAACAATGTGCAGGAAATTCCCTCTGGACGTTCTAGACGGCACAAGCCACAATTAAATTGAGGCCTAACATTACTTTATGCTTTCTGGATGCCACATTAGTTAAATCTCAGAAAAATTTCAAACCTATTTAAAAAGGCTTCTGTGTTTATTTATGCAAGCACGCCCTCTTGTGATGAATCAAAGGTACCAAGATACATAAAGGTCAATCGAGGCAGAAAAGATTAAAGGATGACTTTCTCAAAACTTTATTCCAAATTTGACATAAATCCACACCATTGCTCTTTTGCACCATCCATGACTTTCCTCTCTCACAGTCTAATCTCTTTTAGACTTTAATCTCACAGTCAAAAGAAAACAAACACCTAAATTATACAAAATATAGAAAAGATGACTGGGTCCATCAAAAACGAGTGCAGACAATGACGCACAATCAGAGCCTCAAGTACAAAGGTCAGTCAAGGGCAAGTAGAAAAAAAAACTTACAATCCAGAAGTAATTTTGTTTTGGAATACAGTATGTGTGCGAGTAGAGACAGGAGAACGCTTTGGCTCGATAACCACTCAGGTCAGAATCAGAACCCTCACCAAGCAAAACCAACGGTACAGAAATAATCCTGATGCAAACAGGAAAAGATTAAAAATCTGAGCCAGATGGATGAAAGTGTGAAGAAGCTCAGATAAAAATAATAAAAGCAAAAGTTGTGACGTAGCTGCTTTGGAGCCGAACACTCAGTGAGCACAAGTTTATCACGGGGCGCAAACGCACGAGTCCAGAGGAAGCCGGATGTAACGGTTCACGCCCAAATGCAAAGATGTTTGTTTTATATATATAAACTGTGTCACATTCTCTTTTGTAGTCATACGGATGAATGATGACAGAAGGGTGTGTGTGTGTGTGTGTGTGTGTGTGTGTGTGTGTGTGTGTGTGTGTGTGTGTGTGAGAGAGAGAGAGAGAGATCCTGTGTGTTAGAGCCGTTTAGAGGGCATCCAACAGACTGTCCACACGGCCGATGAGCTCCTGTCTCTTGCTGTTCAGATTCTTCTCGCTCTCGATGTAAGCCTCCTTCTTGACTTTACCCGCCACCAGACGCTCCGCCTCCGAGCAGGAGCGGCACACCAGCTCCTTCACCTGGCTGTCCAGCTTCTGAATCTCCCCCACCTGAGGAGCAGAGAGGAGATTAAACACATCTTCACAGATTTTGTATATAAAACAAAGATGCTGCTCACTTTCTCGGCCAAGTCCGAGCCCTCGGTTTTGAGGCGGGCCTGCAGTGAGCTGATTTCATTAGTGAGCTGGCGATGATCGGATTCCAGAGTCTTTCGACCGCTGTTGAGCGCTCCAGTATCGCGGGACTGTTTGTAGCGGTTCACTACCTCGTCCATGTGTCGGTACAGACCCAGGCGTTTGTTAACCAGGGTGAGCACCTGCTCAGTGATGGAGGCCACCTTCATTCGCACCTCGGCAGCAGGATCCTGAAAAAGCAGGGCAAAAACATGCAATCTGAAGAACGGCAGCAAAACGAGTAAAAAACCTAATAAGGCGTATGTGTTATCAGGCATTTCATACCTTCGTGATGGCAAAGTCCAGACGCACGTAGATGATCACAGTGAAGAAAAGTATGTAGAAGGCTCCCACAACCAAGAGCGGCTCCTGCAGCATCAGGATCTTATTAAAGTTGTAATGAACCTGGAAGGAAGGCAAACATATCAGGACAAGTGCATAAGCAAGTTACTGAACTAACCGTCACCAGTTCTACAGTTATCTTAAACACTTTAATGAAAATAAGTCAGCTGATGACAAACGAGAAAAATAAAATTTATTTCGACTGATGAATTGGGTCAATTAAATGACTCAAAATCAGAAATGTTACATGTTTATTTTGCTTAGTGATGACAGAATCGCAAACAGCAAATCAAGTTATCACAAAATCCCGATCTTACCACAAAATCCTGAATGTGATGCTCAACCAGGTTTCTCTTCGAGGCCACCAACACGGGTCGGCCAAAGGTATCCAGGTAGGTGTAATGCAGCTGGTTTGGCAGGCGATCGATTTTGTAAGGAGTCTCCACGTGGATGTTTCTGATAAAAACCAAACAAAATAAATAAAAGTGAACACCAACAGCTGCGGATTTTTCTTTTCATCCTTCTACAGCTACTTATGTCCTACTGAGCACTCACTTGGAGCCTTCGGGGAGAATAATTTTCACAGTCAGGTCATCAATGACCTGGTCGTCGTACACGTGATCAACTAATCTCATTTTCAGAGCATACTGGTCACCTAGGATGTAAGATGTCACAAATAAGCAAAAAAAAAAAAAAAAAAAACTAGGATCAATAACTTAAATGAGTTAAAGTACCATCTTTACTCTTTTTAACAAAAGGTAAGATTTCTCTTTATTTTAGGAGTAAATTCTGAATCATTTCTTTTTGGATTATCAGAGCTCACCCAGGGTGTAGAGGTATTCATAGCTTGGCAGATTGTAGCCGATGATGTAGTGGGTCTTCCAGCCTCCAAACAAAGGGAAGCGTGGCCTGACCTCCACCTCCACAGAGTCATCCAGAACCTGCAGGTGGGAGGTGGAGATGTTGCCGATCTCGTCACGGTAGTACACATCTTGAGCCGAGGCGGGGAGGATGGTCTGTAAATTAGCAAAGATCTGGTCATTGCCTGTGTTATCAAAACCAGAAAGTGCAACGGCGTGATGGTTATCGAACCTTGAAGGACTTGACGGATGAGATTCCGCTGTCCGACTGCCGCTGGTAATCGTATCGTGAGAAGGGCCCCTTCAGAACAGCTCCTGTGTGCCTCAAATCAATGGTTTCCTCTACAGCGATGTTTCCCCAGTGAGACACTTCAATGGTCCTGGTGATGCTGGTGATGGTGAGGAAGGGTGTGTTGTTTTCATAATGGATCTTCATTGCATCCTGACGAGTTAAAAGCAAACAAACAACACCCATCTAAAATCAGTAACCATTTTTTTGCATCTTCAATTAAAAGCTAATCAAAACTGGGCAGGGCATTACTTCGCTGAAAGGAGCGACATCTTTAAAGGGTCCGTACTCGATGATCTCATCAGTCTTGCTGGGGTTCCCCAGCTTGGTGTAGTTTTCCACAGTCTTGGATGCAAGGCGGACACGTGTGGTCTGGCTTCGAGTGGGGTATGGGGAGAACCAGTAGTGGTTCCCTTGGAAAATCACCAGCTGACGTTCAGCCTGGCTGATCTGTGTGGGGAAAGGCTTCAGGACGTGGCTAAATGTCATCTCCACCTTTGCTTTGAGTTGAGCACCAGCAGCCAGACTGGAGGGCAGCTGCACTTTGTAGAACTCCCCGCTGTCACAAAACCAGTCAAGTTACAGATTAGGTGTTAAAATGCATTCATTCAAATGGAAATACATTTTATCTGGTATGAATTAGTGCATATGTTTGCCATTATTTACCATGCAGAAACAATCTTTCATCATAAAATTATATTCAAAATGCTACCTCTGGCCCCGAATTGTTGTCTGCTCCAGCTCAAGGGTGCCATCCTCCTCTTCATCACCCTTCACCTACAAAAAACAACCCAGGACTTCTTGATCACATTCTAATAAGACAAATTGTTTAAATAAAACCCAAGCTCCGAAATGCATGATGAGTGGTCAGATCACTGTTGGAGCAGGAAGGGGCAGGTCTGTGCGCAGTCACACACGGAAATGAGCTACCCAGCGCATACGTGTCATTCAGCCACTGACAGAGCGTGGAGCCCTGCGGAAGTTAACGACTGGACACTCGCATATTTTAGCATTTACAGCATGTGTAAAGATGTTAAACACACGAGAATTTGGTGTGACCTTTACGCAGCGATCAATACACAAATCAAAACAGCTGCAGCCACTCAATTTGTTTTGGCTATCTGGCTTTTGAGCTTGCAGAAATCACAACTGAACCATTACTCTAAGCTAGTTAGCAGTGCATTCATTCATGCCTTCAATAAACACCTTATGCACGATCAACATCCAGACCTCTGGAAACAATGTTTGCAAATTTAAAAAAAGACATGCAAGTAAACATGAAATTGCAAAACCAGAGTTTAAACTGATTTTTAAACCTATTACCCTGTGGCTTACATGCTAAAGCTAACTAGCTACACTGTTAGCACCAGAGTCTCGTAAGTCATTGTTTGGCTCACCGTGGCTCCGATATATGCCAGGTGCGGAGCCAAGCCTGCCTCCACTGCTAATATGAAGCTCTGAACGGAGGACTGTCCCTGGTTGGACAGCACAATGTCGGCAGTGATCTTAGCCAGATGAGTGCTCAGGTCTACTGTCCTCTTTACGTCTACGTTCACTAAACCATCCGCTGAAACCTCCAGACTCAGAGCGGCCACAAGTAGCCACGCGGCAAACATAAACAGAAACTTTCGTGTCATAGTTGAGGAATTAAAAGCTGAAAAACCGGGGTCGGAGCGGTAAGATCGCGGCAAATGAAGAGCAGCGAAGAAAGGCCGCCGTTAGGCTCTACATGAGGAAAGGATGACGCTACATTCACTTACGTTGTGGCGTCATGACGCACGCAACTTGTAAAGAAGATACCAGGACCGTTAAACCCGCAGAAAATCAGTCATGTGTAGATCTTTATATTAACTCTTTTTTTCTATATTTTAAAAACATTAAACGTTTCATAATAATGAAAAGCAGACTGTCTACTTTATATTACGTAATTTTATGTCACAACATTTCAGAGTACAAGCCGAAATAGCTCAGTTGGGAGAGCGTTAGACTGAAGATCTAAAGGTCCCTGGTTCGATCCCGGGTTTCGGCAGATGGCGGGGTCCTTTTTGAATGCGATAACAAATCTTTGATGATATGTGAAAGCGAATGGATTCAAGACATAGAGATACTAATTAATCTGTTGTTAAATAGCCATACTAATAGGTAAATTCCCATGGGCGGTCTATTGATGAAGCCATTTCAATAAAATGATGAAGGCCTCTATTAACTGATGATACATTGGCCTTGAGAGTGTCAATTCCTGTAATATTTGTTTTAAAAGTTTTTATGCAATTTATAGAAGAACCTTTCTGCATGTGAACAACTGCAGGTGATCACCAGGAACAAGCTGGTGTGATGGACAGGTAAAATGTTGAAATGGTGTCCTCAACATGGGAGACACTACTGTGTCATCTAAATGATATTTTGTGATGCCATCCTCACCCACCCGATGGTTGCCATTCAGCGTTGAGAATTGTATCTTGCTCGAAATCTACGAAAAAACAATAAGCAGCTTGGCTTCAGCACAGGAAGAACCCGAGAGCTCTGCTGTCTAAAGCTCATTTAGAGAATTCTAAAGCCTAATTTATAATTGGGTAAACGCAACACCATTATCTGTCCTTTCGAGGGCTCTCCAGCAGGCTCATAGTGACGAACAGAGTCAAGCTCTCTTTTCTAACATCAGTCCATGGAGACGAAGAACACAAGATTGTGATTGGTCAGGACGCCACTGTCATCAACAGCATCGCCATTGCGCCCTCAAAAACAAGCAGAAGATAGCTACCAGCAGACACGAAACAGCTTGAAGAATACCTCACAGAACAACTCTAAAAATATGAACGTTTTATTCACCCGTGACTGGAGATTCGAAAAGCTACGCAGCAAGCATTTTATTCATGGATGAAAATGATGGGAAAAGTGGATTTAGAGGAGGCGATTGCATGAAGTGGTGGAGGAGAATGAGGGACAAATTTTTCGGTGTAAAAAACTCTCCGAAATACAAAAAACCCCACAGTATAAACACATTATTAAAGGCACTATTTTGGACTGAATACATGACAGGATACCACAGAATAGCACAACGCCCTCTGTTGCCCTGGCAGGGAATTGCTTTGCAACAATCCCCAGGAGGCAGAGAAGTTCGAGAACACAACATATCATCATAGGTTTAAATAGTAAACAAAACCTTGATGGTTGTGTAAAAAATATTAATGTTGATCTTTGAAGTTGTGTATGGGGCCAGTGATGGTGCACCTGCATGAGAATGTTCTGTTAAACTGAAATGCTGATGGGTCGGAGGGACCAATGGTGCCTGTGCACTACAGCCTCGCCACTATCAGTGTGCCCCAGGGCAGCTGTGGCTGCAAAGTAGCTCATCACCACCAGTATGTGAATGCGTGTGAATGGATGAATGATACACTGTAGTATAAAGCACTTTGGAGTCCTCTGACTCCGAAAGGGCTGTACAATTGTGGACATTTATCATTTGAAATATGCATGTTTTGCAGTCTGTAATGGAGGGGATTTTTGTTGCCAGGTAAAAAGATAACATTGTGCACACATTATTGCACGCGCACGCGTGTGTGCGTGCCTGCACTGTACCCCACATAACTTTTCATGCCAGATTTCACTGGTGGTGTCCTTTAGAATCAGTTCAATATTCTACCATACTTACATATGAAAACAAATTATAAAATGTATGATTATGAGTAAGATGGACAATATTGTTGGTGGTTTCCACAGTTTATTATTATTTATTTATTTATTTAGACATATTTTTACCGTCCTCAAAACGCTAGTTTTACAGTGAAGTCATAATAGTTTTTAGTATTTACATCAAAAAAGAGTGGTGGTCCTTTCAGTCAATGTGTGGAGCAATTTGTGACGTAATACTTGTACATATGCCGTGAGACAGCCTATTTTTGATAAGTTTTGACTGGTGTTGCTATGCGACAAACGTCTTTTTGGTCCCGTGGTCCCGTGCAACAAGGCGTGATCTGCGCGTGACGTCAGCTCTGGCGAACACAGCTTGTTTTGGAGGAAGTGAAGAGAGCTCGTTCAACTAGATGCTAGCAGGTTAGCTTGACAGGAAAAGTCAGTGTCAACGTAAACCTGGCCGTCGTGCTGAAATATTTTCATCGACAGTGTTGCTTGTGGTAGGCAGGCTCAGTAGAGAGGCTAGATATTCGACAGCGACTTGGCTGTGGACACTCTAAACGTGTTGTTTTGTTACGGGAAGACGTTTGTTGGAGCTGTTAGCCTACTGCGCGTTAGCTTGGCTCTACCATTAGAGGTAGAGAAAAAAGACCACATTTGAGTTTCTTGTTTTATTTGTTTTTCTTTCCATCCAAAGACTCGCCTCACAGGTTGGTTTGTATAGTCTTGTGCTGCCTTTAATTACTCATGTCAACAATTTTGCTATGTAACATTTTGCTCAGGCTAACAAAATGTCTTAAAACCCTGACCAGAAATAATGGTCATTCTTATTGATCTGTTGTGTTTTATTGATCGTCTACTCAATATAGGTTCTGCTTTAAGGCGGCGTTTCTTTTACTTCCCAGAAGCTTGGACAACTAATGAAATGTTTACTCTCATATCGCGAACCTTTTGCAAGTGTTTGAAGTCTAACCGGTCGCTCGGTGGGGAAATGTAGACACATGACTCTGTTTCCAGTTTATCAGAAGGAAATGTTTACAGTCTGACAGACTTACACGTAGCTTCAGAATTTACCGGGAGCCTAATGTGTTTTCCCCTTCCAGCACTTGGTGTGCTAATCATGCCTGCCATGTCATGGTTCCGTTGGTCGTGTGTTAAAAGCCATGTGATCAATCCCTGACACAGTGTCATGGGGTACAGATTATGAGAGCCTCTGTGTTAGCGTTGCTTCAGGCCTTTTTACTCATTAAACAGCCAATCACATCACGTCAAGCTATCATTGGTGTCTGTGATCCTTTCAGGTTTACGGTTTCCAGTTCCTGGCCTGATTGGCTGAATAATTTTGGGTCCCATCTCTGTAACAGAATTTGGACTTTGGCCATTACAGTTTTATGAGGTTATTATTGCGTAACACTCTGGGCCGAAGTCAGAAGTGACTTTTGGAACTTGAAAAAAGTGTGTTTGTTACAGCGTTAAGATGTATGAAATGTTTTGTTACTTGAAAAATAAGTAAAAAAAATAGTTTACAAGGGATGAATATTTTAGAAGTAAATGTTTTTTATTTGTAGTTTACAATGAATTCAGTATTTGATCAATGTGAATAGCACATTTATGCACATACATATGTGAGACAAGTCAATACAATTATTTACTGTTAGTGACACAATTCATAACATTATTTTGTGTGTGTGTGTGTGTGTGTGTGTGTGCACAAATATGCGTGCACAAATATGCGTGCATTTCATAGGTCTGTTTTGTTTTCTATTTATTTTCCTTTTATTTTTGGCTTCACAAGAATAGTCAATAGAAAATGAATCAAATAGTCCCCATAAGCGCTATAAACATTGCTCTGGATTTTATTTCTATAATCTTTCTTAATTTTTACAGTGTAACAAAAATGACCTTACAACAAATGCAAATGCCAAATGCTTGGCACAGATGTGACATTGAAGTGAAAATTTTAATTTTACAGGATAAATGTAAAAATCAAGTTCACTGATCTTTTGTTCTGAAGGACTCCCTTCATCTTAAACCCGCTTTGGGTTTTATGTTGCTTATAAATCACTCATTTGTGTTGTGAGACTTAAATGTTGTAGGACTTCTTAGTTATGAAAGAAAAAAAAAAGATAATTATAACGGTTATTGTTGAAACATTTATTAACATTTAACACCAAGATTTACTTTGTAAGATGGCATCAGGCACAGATTTACATCAGGAAGAGGTCTAGTAGTGATTAAAACGTGTGACTTTATGAATTATGGAACAAAGTTACTTTTCTTATTCTAGAATCAGTATTTGTTTTTTACATTAGTGTATAACATGGACATACAGTGCTGCTGTAAAGGCAGAAAAGAGCTGTTAAGTGATCCCAGATGTCTAAGCAGGAAGTTGGCGTGCATAAAAAAATGTGGTTTTCACGAGTACCGATGCTTGGAAAGGGAACTGTAAGGAAAAATATTGTTGGATGCCATGCCAGGGAGCATGTGAAGGTCATTATAGGCTGCCCGTGTGTTTCTCCCCCTCCTTTTTCTATCTTTCCTTGTGCATTTTTTAAACGCTACCAACAAGTGGGAGTTTAGCTTAGAGCATGTTTAGAAATACGAGTGTAACAAATGATTGTCTTAAGATTAATTTTGTATCAGTTCCTTGTGTTTTGTGATCATTTGGAACAGAAATTCAAATTTTATTGGGTGACTGATTAATTGCACACCCCTGCTATATTATACATTTAGTTTAAGAACTTTGTGAAACTTCCTGGAAGAATGAAGGGGCTCCAGATCAGGTCCCAACACAAGCCAGCCTTCCTTATAAGACAGTTTACTTTCTGGGGTCTCTTGCTCTGATACTGTTGATCCAACAGATTTGTTAGAATTCCTATGGAAATATATAACTTCACTCATTGAAATACTTATATTTTTCCAGTATTCCTGGAAATGCCCAGGCGTAGTTGTTTTTAGAATGCAGCACAGCCAGTTGTTTATTTTCATAAGTAAAGGAAAGCCGCGTCTGGGAAATGCAGTACTCTCTCTTTACTAGAATCGGTCAGTGTTTGGGGTTTCCTGTTGTGAAACAATCTCAAAACCTTTAACCCCCGATGGCGATCAGTATGACAAAATTAAATCTTATCTTGTTTTAGGAATTCCAGTTTTACTGTGAATTTTCATTTCTCCTCCAATTTTGCTTTTTGTCTTTGCAGCTGTGGGACAATGACGTCAAGGAAGAAAGTCCTTCTCAAAGTCATCATCCTTGGAGACTCTGGGTTAGAAATGATTGTTCACATGAGATGGTTTCATAGCAAAACATCAGTGTCATGAGAGGGACTCTTGAGATTGAGATTTGATCAGTATATTATAGGAACCTTCAATTGTCATTATTGTTTTTCTCCAGTACTAATTGTTGTAATGTGGGGTTTATGTTTTTGCAGAGTTGGGAAGACCTCATTAATGAACCAGTATGTGAATAAGAAGTTCAGCAACCAGTACAAAGCCACAATTGGAGCTGATTTCCTGACAAAAGAAGTCATGGTAGATGACAGACTTGTCACAATGCAGGTACGAACAAAACTCCTCACAAGAATGCAGCACCTATCATTAAAATACTGTAACCTCATCTAAAGAGTCTTATACAATTCCAATTTGTTTTAATAATATTTTTGTGGTATTTAATTTTTTGTAGTCTTATAAATAAGCATTCTGTGTTACAGATTTGGGACACAGCAGGCCAAGAGAGATTCCAGTCCTTAGGAGTAGCGTTCTACCGTGGAGCCGACTGCTGTGTTCTGGTGTTTGATGTGACTGCGCCCAACACCTTCAAGACCCTAGACAGCTGGAGGGACGAGTTCTTGATTCAGGCTAGCCCACGAGACCCAGAGAATTTCCCCTTCGTCGTCTTGGGCAACAAGATCGACTTGGAGAACAGACAGGTTAAAAAAACATAAGTCATATGTACAGGGCCTTTCCACCGGATGTGTAAAGCCGGGCGTACACTGTGCGACTTTTTCACTCGTAGCACTCAGCTTCAGCTCAAACTGTACGACTTCCTCGCAGGGCAGATCTCACGAGCCAGGCGCTCACACTGCACGACCCAGTTCTCGGATGCGACCTGACTGCTCACACTGTATGTCTGGTAGCAACACGTCGGCCCTAAAAATATGCTAAAAATAGCAGTTTTTACTCAACACGTTAGACTTTTTTGTCTTGTTTTGCCTGTTGTCCTTCGGGAGTGCTGCAGGAGGACACAAAGGGATTTATGTGTAAATCTGTATTTTGTGATCAGTTTAATTTGACATGAACACGACAAACACGCTTTCTTGACAATCTTTGTGAGTAAAAAAAAACGTGTAGAAATAAAAACGAACAGCGTGTGTTATTAGGGAAATAGCGGGGAGCGGTGTTGATGCAGGATTGCGCATGCGCCATGAGCGGTTCTGATACATTTTGGGTCGCAGCTGCTCGCAGCGCCACTTCAACAGTGCGATACCCTCACGAGGGATGAGTAAAATATTAAACACGCCAGAAGTCCGTGCGAGCTCACGATTGCTGATCGGTAGCTGGTCATGTGGTGTTAATCGCCTCTCGTAACCCCCTGTACACTACACGACGCTCGGCGCAAAACTCGCCCCGATCTCGTGGATTCTCGCACGAGTGGAAAATCGGCTCAAAAAAGTGAAAAAGTCACACAGTGTACGCCCGGCTTAAGCAGCACGTAATGGGATAGACATGTCTTACCTGCGAGCACAGCAGCATGTCCAATTCCCATTGGGAGCACTTCAGAGGCGAAACTGCAATGAAAGTGTTCCAAGCAGCTGGTACTGTGAGGTCATGAAATCGCAGAATAATTGCAAGATTACTCGTGATATCGCCATTTCATGTGATCGCTTTTGGGACGTGTCTAAAATGTCATGCTTTGCTGTCAATGGAAATACACCCGTTATCTATAACAGTGGCTAAATGTTGCGTACTACGTTTTGCGGATGTTACGCAACACTTACGCGTCTGGTGGAAAGGCTCGGTCAGCTTTTCATGCATCACTTGTCAATAGCTTGTATTGTTGTCAAATTAAGCTTAAAGTGACCTATTTATTAAAAAAATAAATAAACAGATACAGTTAGCCATAATCAAAGGCCTGCATTTTTTTGTCAGTGCAATCACCTTCTCCTGATTTCAGGTGACAACCAAACGAGCACAGGCTTGGTGTCAGAGCAAGAACAACATCCCGTATTTTGAAACCAGCGCCAAGGAGGCAATCAACGTGGAGCAGGCCTTCCAGACTATTGCACGCAATGCTCTAAAACAGGTAAGCAGCAAAATAAAATAAAAAACCCGAAACAACAGGCAATTAGACTCCTGGATGCTAATGTCACTTAAACATTAGTTTTTATGGCAGTTGGGAGGCACAGGAACCACTACTCACTTTGTTTTACTGTCTGATCTCAGGAGACTGAAGTGGAGTTGTACAATGAGTTCCCGGAGCCGATAAAGCTGGGCAGGAACGAGCAAGCCAAGCCGTCTGCAGAAGCCTGCAGCTGCTGAGGACACTGAAGGAGATCATCAGGGGCCCATCATTGCCCTCAACACCCTGTCTTGCCTTGTCTATATATATATCCCTTTCCCTATGGCCAACTGTGTTATACCCCAATGCCCACCATACAAGCAGCATCCCATTCATCAAGAATATTACGACACAGATGCGCTGCAGTCACATCTTTACGTAAGACAAAACACACATTTTCTATAAAATACAAGCCTAGTCCAAAGAAGACCTTAAGGAAATTGGACAGTTAATTGTATGATGCTCGTTACGCCCCAGTGTTTACCCTCGTGTCTCTATGGTGGTTTGGGTTAATTTCATTTTCAGTCCCAGTTTTGGTCCTAACTTTTATTTTGATACTTTAGGTGGGAAATATAAACACAACTTCTGTTTGTACGTAGAGGTTTTGATTTAGGTTACAGATTGTTTTTGTTTTTAATCAAAACATCATTAATAGTGATGGTCTTTGACAGCACATCACTGCTGCATGAACGAGGAAACACTGCTACCCCATATTTTACTCATCTGTGTTGTGACTCAAATTACTGTCACTCTTGGTAATACTCGTTACCATGGTTTCACCTAAACCTCGTGAAAATGAGTTCTGCTTCATTGGAGACACGTGTGAATTTGCACAAGTTAATAATATGCTCACACTTATTGAATGACAGAACTGAGAACATGGTGCAACAACTCCATCAGACACGTGTTTATTTTATTTTATTTTATTTTTCCACTTTGTCATATTCAGTAACTTAATTCTGTGGAGACAACTCATTTTGAGTGGTTGCTGCTCAGGTCGAGCCTCAGCTCCTCGTCAGTGCTGTTCCTCTCCTAAAGGACTTATGGTTCATCTTGTGATCCATTACTCTCCATGTTTTTGACACAGGAATGACCCAATTTCATCTACCTGACAGACCCGGAGATTTAATTTACAGTTACCCAATTTTTATTTTTTATTGTTCCTGCAGATTCATGCAAGAATTTATAAAGTTGCAATCATTACTTAGGGAAGGCACACCGTGTTGTAAATCTCCATACCCGACTCTACCGGTAGCTTGTTGACGAACACTTCATGTGCTTAACTTTTCTTTTAAACAATCGACTCTTTAACTGTCTGTATTATGTTGAAACTCGGAATGCATACATACTTTAACTCAAAAAGTTGGGGGAAGATGTGGGGAAAGTATTTGGCATTCATTGTTATTATTATTACATATTAATATGATAAATGCACAGCATCTACATTGTTTCAAAATGTCTTTGCGTTTCAAGTAATGAGGAAAATAAAAATATTGACTAAAGCATACTGACTTTTAAGGTGTTTATTGAACAACTTTTCTCAAAATTGAAAACATTTACTTACAGTGCAAGTTTTAAAAACATGTAAACATACAAATATTCTAGCTAAAATGAAAACAATTTCATAAAAAAATGAGACCTAAATTACCTCTCCTAAACGTTTTGGCATCGGTTTGTAATTTTCACTTGGTTCTTGGCTTCTTTTCTCCCTGAAGCCACAGCTGCAGTGATCCCACTGGCTTGTGTTGAGGCGCTGCCTTCTCTTTTTGCTCTTCTTTGCTCTCAGGTGAACAGAACTCTTTCCTCTTTAAAGAGTCGCCGCTCAGCAGCCAGTTCTTCATCATCCTACTGCTCGCTGTGGGTTTGGGCTCCTACAAACGAAGAGTCAAACCGGTCAGGTGAAAACTTCTGTCATGTGTTCTGACCACAGTTGGTTGTACCTTTTTGCTGCTGAGATCCACTGGCTGGAGGCACTCCGGGGAGTTGTTCCGCGAGTTGTTGACGAGAGTGGACACGGGGTGAAAGGTCAAAATGTTTTTAGACTGAAGCAGTTTCAAAGCATCTAGAGATTTCACCTCCCCGAAATCGAGCCACCTTCTCACTTCTTCTGCCCCATCCAGGATTGCTGGCATCCTTTAAACAATCCAAATTTAAAAGGACAAACAAGACAAAATCATGCTTCATTCAAGCTGCTCTTACCTGTCATGGATATTTTCTAAGTTTGGGGAAGCATCCACAGTGAGGATGGTGTAGGAGTAGAGAGGCTCTCCGCCTGCTGGTGGTGTCCAGCAGTCAAACAGCCCGGCCATAGTCAGCAACCTCCAACCCGTCCACTCTGCTGGGGCCTCTCTTTCCTTACCAACACAAAGAACATGTTAAGTATGTAATAAATATGTTATTACTATATAAGAGCCAATACAAACCTCACACACACCAGGGGAGGCCTCTGCCTGAGGGTGTACAGATTCTGAAATATCTTTATTGCAAACTGGAGCCAAGATGTCATCCTGATCCTCGTTTTGCTTCTGGCTGGTTTCCTTAGTCTGAGGGAAGTAGATGAAAAAGGGCTGCTTCTCTTTTTCTCTCCTTTGCCACTCATAAAACCCATCAGCCAGGATGACACAGCGCTGTCCTTTCAGCAGGGGATCCTTTAAAAAAAGAGGGAAAAGTACACAACCAGACATTTTTAAAGTTTTTTTCCCCATCACTATTTTGTGGAAAAACAACTCAACATAAAGGGTTTGACTTCTTTCCACAAATGTCTTCACCTTGTAGGATTTCTTTTCCAAAATGTTCTCACTACGGCAATTACTGGTGCTGTACTGCATCTTGTTTGGGTCATTTTCCCTGAACCATGCAGGTATCAGACCCCAACGCATGGACGCCAAAACACACTCATCTACAGGAGCATTCTGGACATGCAGAAAGAGTAACGTTAGCATTTGCATGATGTGTTTAACAGTGAAATCCATTAGAACAGATCAGACCTCTGAGGCTTTGTTTTCTGGTCCAACAGGAAGGTTATAGAACATGTGCTTTAATATTAATACTACAGAAGTAAACATGATCTATCAGACCAAATAATCCACATTTTAAAGGACAGAACCCTCTGCATGTCATCCACTCACTAATAGGTGCAAAAATGAATAAAAAATAGCAGGTGAGAGCACAAAAGAAAAAATGTTTCGACACAGCTTGTGTCTCAATCAGACTAACTGAGTAACCTATGAACATTTGTTCTCATTTGAGTGCTCCAGTGGCCCTCACATACTAACATCAGCTCCACCCCGCCTGGACCAGGTTGGGAGTTTTCTCATTTAGCCTGGCATTTTCCCGTGCACAACCGGACGCCTTTTCAGCCCTCTTCTCGAGGAGGTCTGCCTGGAACCAAACTGCTCCAACACACCCACTGCTGACTGCTTGGCTGGGTCAAAAGCACGCCTACCTTCAGAGGGAGCCTTGGACTGGCAGACAGAATAAGCCCGTGGAGGCTTCCCGCATGCGCGATTCATTATCATTCTGGATGCATTTTACTTAAACACATTTCACTTGAACCTAGTAAAGTGTATCTTAAATCCTAACAGTCAGATTCAGAGTGTATTGGTAAGTATATGGTTGTACCTAACTATTTTCATCATTTTGTCTTTCATAATAATACTGATTTCAGAGATCTTCATTACATTATCACACTGAAGTTTGAAAAGAAACACATTTTTAAATATGTATCGCAGTATTTGGCTTTAAGCAAGGTATCATAATCAGGGTTTTTCCTGCGTTCAAATTTGCGTGGCAGCCGCCTCCAGCTAATTTTGTGCCGCCCCAGCCTGATTTCACTCTACCCCCAGCTATATGGATGTTATTTTAACTGCAGTTGCAGCGTTGCGCCACTATAAGGACGCTGTATTCAAAGATACTTTATTAATCCCAGAGGGAAATCAGCAGAGGTGAACCAAAAAGTGCTAAAACCGCTGCAGAAAAAGAAGGTAAAAAATTGCTTTTCTCGCTAGTTGGTACATATCTATGGTTGGTGCTATTGACGTCCTGATTTTACCCCAGGCTCTTCCATATCAGAGCAGGGCTGTACAGTGCGACGAAAAAAACTGTCTGTGCGTGTCTGTCTATTTTTAAACGTAGCACTGGTGCAACATCTTAGAATTTCTATTTTCCCCAGAACTTTATTGAACAAAAGTAAGTTACGTGTAAGAAAAATGCTTTTTACTGGCGCACAGTGTGGTAATCTGGATGCAGTGGAGGAAAATACAGGAACCACCAAAGGCACAAAGGCGGAACCGGTGTCGGTACAGGATCTGCTCGGGTGCAAGATCGGCTCAGGGTCCGTCGACTGCTGATGACGTCAAAGTAGTTGATTGGCTGAACATGAACCTTACGGAAGTTACGTAATCACGTTACGTTGGTCCAGGCAAATTTTTCTGTTGGAAAGATGGACAACTTTTACAAAGAAATCAATCATTACCTCTTTGAAAATACACTTTTAGCACAGAGCTGCATGTATATTAGGGCTGAACGATTAATTTCATGTGTAATTAAATTGCGATGTGACAAAATGAGATTTTCTAATCGCCAAGGCTGCAATTTGGCAGCGAGTGGTTAGTGCAATGCTAATAATACATGGAAAAACCCATAGGAATGCTAATATCACCGATTACATTCTTACAAATTATGAATTAGAAACGTGCCAAATGATTACATTTGGAGTCTAATAGAAAGTAAAACTGCTATCAATCAAATAAGCACAGACAGATATTTTAGTAAAGCCAGAAAACTTTTAACTCCAGAGTGGCTAGCAGCTATGAGCGTAACTGAACTACGCATGGACAAGACGTCAAAAACTCTAAACACAAAATACTTCAATAAACGGGACACACTTCTTTCCTGCAAATACAATTTCACAGGTGTTGCTAATACCTATGATCCTTCAAGGGATGTGCTCAAAGAGGAGTTCAACATTATGAATACAATATAGTGTTTTATTTTACTAATACCGTTATAAACACAAACTTACGTCGTAAGAAACATTATTTTAATAACGAAACTGCTAAACTCTTTTCAACAGTATAAAGATGCGTAGTGTATTTTGTCCGAGTGGGTTTGCCGTATTTGACGTCATCGGCAGTCGAAGGACCCCGAGCCGATCTTGCAACCGAGCAGATCCTGTCCCGACACTGGTCCAAAGTTTGGGATCAAAAGCGCAGCTACACGCAGATTGGCTAATGCTAATGCTAACGGGTAGCAGTCTCACGATCAAGTGGTGCACAGAAAAATATATGATGATCGTAAAACTAAGAAACACTAAACTCTAGAAGCGGATGAAAAGTCCCCACCATCCTGTTTATTCTGCATCCTGCAGCGCTATGGATCAGAACCGCTGCAGATACGAGTCACATTACTGCTGCAAGTCTGCTCCACATACAAGAGCAGGAAGTACGGCAAGCCGTTGCTGTATATACTGTAAATTCTCTAATACAGGCCCGGGCCTGTATTTGACTCAAGCTCATCAAGCTCCAGGCCTTTATTGGAAGGAGGACAGAATTGGATGCAGGCCTCAATTTCTATTTGAGCAAAATGAACTAATGGTTCACTGGAGTTTTTGACAATTAAAATTGCACCCACATTTTCAAAGTTAAACACATTTCTTTTAACAACGGTAGTTTCTGCTTCAGCCCTCTCCCCCCTCCCCCCGCGCAGCGGCCCCAAACTCACTGATGCGCCTGCAGCCTCTCAGAGTTCCTGCTGCTCTAAACATTAAAATAATTATTTCATTTTCTGTTCCTCACTTCTGATTACCTTCAATGGTGTCTGTTTGTTGCAACCACCAGGTACAAAAACTAACTTGTTTTTATTTAACTATTTTTCTGTCCTGTCTCTGTTTATTATCTTCCTGCATCTCCTCTCAATCCTAAAGAAAAACTGCTACCTGGGTTCATGTATTCACCTTATGAGTTACCTTTGAACTGCAGTTCTAAAAGATCTACCGACCGCAAAAACAGCGAAGTGCTCGCTGCTTGGCGGCCACATCGCGTCACCGAGGACAAACCAGGTGATGCGCCCCGATCCACAGCAGCGAAAAGCATCAGGCACAAATAAAGAATAAAAGACAGAAAACATAAAAGGAAATGAGCCGACATTAACGATCGCGTGTTAAATTCGTTTTTGAGGTGGCGACACCTGATTTGATAAGGTTACTGTGGCCGTGCTCAGGATGCAGATGTCTGGAGCGCGTCAACAATCAGAGCTTTGCATGCGCACGCTGGTTAAGGTTAGAATGGGGGTGAGGGGAAGGTTAAATTGCAAGAGGGTAAAGGTCACAATTTGGTTAAATGTCCGTTTTACGGCGGGTGTCAGTACCGACGCTCTGGCACAGCGCGTCGCCTCCCGACGCGCAGGAGCTTGTCACCTGCTGACAGCAGGCTGCTATCTTTTCCGTGGACTGCATCTTGCCGGTCATTATCACGTGACAGCGACTAGTCGATGACAGGCATAAAAAGTCACTATAGAGCGGTGAAGTCGACTAGTGACTAGTTCATACAACCCCTGCTACTGCTCCCCAGAGTGTTCTGCAGCATAATCAGCACGTTCTCTTTGAACTTGATATCAAATTTTCGCCTCCGCACGGTTAAAGTTACCCTCGCGGTCTATCACTGGCAAATCAAAAATGAGACGGATGACACAACCGCCCCCCGTACTTGCTTGTTACCACATTCCACCCGGCCACAATAAAAAACCGGCCATTATTCACCTCCGCTGACTCCGGCCAAAATATGATACCCGGCAGTTAATTAAATACAGGCTAATATTAGAGGATTTACGGTAATTCACAAACACTTCTATCAGCATAATTTAAATTGGATTATTGCCAACCCGTACACAATAGACATGCCACCATTTCATGTTGGCAGCAGAAATTAAATGTTATTACCATTTCCAACACAAATGCATGTTAATGAAATGCATCATATTTTACTTTGTGTTATTTTGACAAAGATGAGTGTCATTAATACAAACCTTAAATGTTACTGAAATGTAGGTCAAATATTTAAAAATATTTTAACTATAAATATCAGACGGGAAAAAGGGAACTAAACACCAATCTAATGCATATTATTGAGCCTTTTATAATACGAGTCTGTTATTTCAGCCTGATAATTTTGTTTTATTTCATATTTTTTTAGCAGCAAACCAGTTTTGTTTCACTTGAAACGTTGTCAAATGGAATATTCAATTAACCAACAGAAGCTTAGATTAGAACACTTAACGAAAAAAATATTTGCCTTTAAAAAAGTGATGCAGTTGAATGCACAGAGTATTCATGTGCTGGCGCATGGTCAGGATGGTACCACCTCTGCCTCAATTTGAGCCAGGAAAAACCCTGATAATGCTCAAGAAAGTTTGAATTAAAAAAAAGTTTTTGTTTTGTTTTGTTTTTTACTGTGTAGGTTCCCCCGGTTTCCTCTAAGAGTGTGGGCTCAACCCCCAATGCTTCTAAGAAAAGGAAATGCCCCTGATTGTCATGCTATAAAAGCAAGCCCCCACAATGCGGCTCAAAAATTGAAGCAATCCCAGAAGTACCAAAAATTGCAGTTCCACCCTCATCCGCTGGGGGCTGGTGTCAGAAGCGAGCAAATCCTCATTGACTCCAATGTTAAAAATACCATTTTCACAGCAGAAATAAACATGTTTACAGCCTGGTACCAAAACATGTTTTTGGTTTAAATCACTCATGACAACTCTGAGGGGGGTGAAATTTTTTCTCACTCTTCTGTTTAAGTGTATTAAAAGCCTAAAATTCTGTATAATTAATGAGCATCCGACACATGTGACCACAGAGCTAGCTCCGTGGAAAGGCCTCAGTAGAGCCTTGGTCTGGCCTGGAAACTGCTCCGGGATTTTGAGTCTGTGTGTGTGTGTGTGTGTGTGTGTGTGTGTGTGAGTGTGTGTGTGTGTGTGTGTGTGTGTGTGTGAGTGTATTCTTTTTTGGATATTTTTTGTGCAATTATTGGACCAAATGACTTGCTGTGGCATTAATTGCACTAATAGAGCGTCCAAGGAGTCTCCACTTCATTTTTTTCGGTAAGTAAAATTATATTTATGTATTTTAGGTCACTGCCGAGCTTAGCTTAGATTTTAACATGTACTGTTTAACCATGAAATTTAAATGTAATAGGGTAAAACCCAGTGCATTTAACATAATGCTGCACTTTAGAAAATGGGTTGAAATATAACATGTTGGTGGAGCTGGGTTCCGACTATCAGCTTGTGGAGCTCTCGGGAGACCTCTGTTTTCCACCCGGTTCTCCCCTCCCCGCAGCTCGGCGCATTTCTGTCTGATCACGGCTTCTGTCTGCTGGGCGGGCTGCCGGTTTGTGGAGCTCTGGGATGGAAACCTTTCCACTCGGTTCTCCCCAGCGGCAGCTCTGCGCATCTCAGATTGCAGCGGCGCTTGTCTGCTGTGCGGCTGCCGGCTTGTGGAGCTCTCGGGAGACCTCTGTGTTCCACCCGGTTTTACCCAGCGGTCAGCCCGGCATAGCAGAAGCTCTGGTGTTGTGCACAGTTAACTCCGGTTGTAGCTAGGTTGCTACCTCCATTAGCTTAGCTCCCACCTCCGCGTTAGCTTTGGGTTAGCTTGTAACTAGTTCGGGTGTCGTCAGTTGGTCCCAGCCTTACAGCCCCACCTCTCTTCCCTTTTGTAGAATTGTCTGGGCTTGATGTAACATGTGACACGGTCAAAATGGCGGTGGTGGCCACCTCCCATTTACCCTCAAAAACGTGTTATTGGAGTCTTGGAAACCCATTGTCCAATATTTATATGTTGATGTATAAAAGCCAATAAATAAATAAAATATGATATAAATAATTAAATAAAACTAATTAATTAACCAAGCTTTTTTTATTAAATGGACAAAACAACGATTTAAGGTCACGTTTCAAACCTTATATTTCTCTGTTTACATCACTTACATGTGTCTTATCTAGTTTAAAACCTCGAATCACCTTGTCGAAGTGTCTCTGGGACAGCAGAACCGGACTCATGGACTGAGGGCTCTTGTTGTAGGAGGGCCGGTATTTCTCCGCGTCTGAATCCCTCCAGCGGGGCTGCCTCCACTGACCGCCCCGGTTCCGATAGGAGCAGGCTCGTCTCACCTCGTCAGGAGCGAGAGTGCAAGCCGTCCTCCCACACATTTCAACAGAACTAAAGCAAAGCGGTCACACACATTTTCAGCTAAACGTGTCTACCGCTTTTTCACGTTAGCTTCACGTGCCTGCAACAACTATCTCACTGAAGAATGTAAACTAATCGACTCACCCGTTTTGCACTTTTCAGTTTACGAAAATACCCAAGAGTTAATGTATTAAATAAATACGAGTGCGTGTAGCTGTACTAGCTGAGTGTCTTTGAATAAAATGTGTGAAAATATTAGCCAGACGGGGTCTACACTATTTACTCAACGGTCTACGTAGCGGTGTACTGAGTTGGCGGAGTTTGTAACTGTATTATTTATTTTCCCTGTTTTCAAGGCAGACTCCTCCCACGCCGCCTTGCTTCACTACTCCGTCCGGTCAGAGTGGACTTGCTCTTGCTAGAGAGAGCGTGCAGTCGCTCCGCCCCTTATTAAAGATGGCAGCAGGTTACACACACTTTCATCTGTGTATTATTTTCAACTCTTCCAAGTATTAATTGTAGACTTTTCAAGTGTGTTTAACATTTAAAGCTGTAATAAACCAGCTAAATATTACGTTTCAGTCAATGAAGAGCCTGGAAAACAAACTTGCCTTATACTATTTTTATAATTAGTTCATATCAACCTCATATTTTATTTATATTTATTTTGTCTTCTTTAATTTTATATAGACTATATAATATATGTATGTGTTTATTTATTTTTGTTTGGTTCCTATTTTCTCTAAATAACTATGAGCATGCCTTTGATCAAAAGGAATGTAAATTATTTGATAATGCCTTTTTCTTAATTGAAAATATTCAATAAAACACTTCAATCATTTTGTTTTTACTGTAATTTGCCCCCCAAAACCTGCTTAATTATGTCACTGGAGAGCCTTGAAAAATAACATAAAGTAAACTAAACTTTTCAGTAAATAAAACAACAAAATTGTTCCTGTTAACAAAAAAAACAATTAAAGAGCAAGTCACCCCCAAATCAACTATTTTTTTCTGATAAACTATATAAATGCGTGTCTAATCGTGCTGCAGACACGTGTAGTCAATAGTTTTGCACTTTAGTGCATTTTAGTTCAAATTAAAATTTTCTGCCTGAAACTGGCAGTGTTGTGCCGTCGTCAGGTAAAAACTCTTCACTGCATTTGAATTTAAATCTGACACCGCTATTGGCTAAGAGGTATGCTATGATGTACACTGGTACATTATGATGTCACAATGTCGTGAGTGTATGTATTTGTTAGTGGCTCCGCCCTCTCGGTCTGCTAGGCAACAGCATTTGTTGCATTTTTCAAACATGAAGTGGGAGTGAAGTACGCTTCTTGTGAGGGGTGACTTGCTCTTTAAAGTATTTAAAAACTGAATAATATATTTGTTTATGTTGTTGTAAAATTTCTAGACTAAACACAAAAGGTGTTTTGTGCATTTGTCAATAAAAAACCTGTGAACATATTTGCTGGATTAAGTTGTAAAATGCTTTTTTGCAAGTATTTTTAAAAAAAAATCACAAAACTACATATTATTACTTTATGTTCACACTTTTCTTGCCTTTGAGTCTAAGAAGGAGGCTGATTGGAGGTTGTCAGGGCAACAGTAAACAACCACCACTGACACGGGTGGTTCTCAACTGGCATTGAGGTTTAAACACTTGTGGATATCAGCTGAAAGGACGAAATCTGTCAGAGTTGGCCGACTACGACGTAACCGGTTAGTAGGCTACAATTTGTTAAATCTTTATTCTAAATAGATATTAGAAACAATTAGTCTTAAACCCCACATGGCCAATAAGTGCTCCTCTAGTTTTACATGTGAGCTGTGATGCTGTTTATAACAAATTTAAAGGTAAATACCAGGAGTTCAATAAACATTTAGGTTGGTGCGTTTCCACTTAGATCCGTAACTTAAGGAAAGTATCACACCTTCTCTGGTGTTGGGTGGAAATCTTGCAGGTGGAGCCAAATTCTCTCCTGCAGAGCAACCTGACCCAGTTATGTAGCAGGTAAACTACATGTGGACAGGGACCGAGTAACAAGACTTTTCAGGAGTTAAATGAAAAAATTTTGAAAATTGTGTCTATACAAAAACTAAATTTTTAAAGTGTGTTCACAGCTGTTTAGTCTTAAAAATGCTGTGTGACTATACCCAACGACGGATAAAACAAACAAAACTTGCTTCTCAGTGCTGGTGCCAGAATGGAGCCCACTGGGTCTGGTCGGTCTGTCCATCTGAGCCAAGAGACTAACGGACACGGTTCTCCACATCAAAGCGGTGAGTAATCTGACTAAATCTCTGACAAATTATGATTTAGTCGATTATTTTTTCTTGCAACATTACTCACAGCCCCAGGTTAGCTTCGTTACTATCAGTCACTGCACTCAGATTCTTAATCTTGTGTTTATTAGTTAAAAGGACAATCTGATATCGGTTTAACTTTGTGCTTCTCTCAAAAGATCAGAGAGGTCACATCTACGTGTTACACCTCCTTTTTTTACACCAGTTTGACCTTTCGCATTCGTGCAGATGAGATTGGGAATGCTGAATTAATTATGAAGTGACAAGCAGGACACAGGGTCAAATGTTTAAATGCAGTATCCCTGAATTAACAATTCATGATTTCATGCTTTTTGGATTCAAACATTCTCCTTTTTATCTCTAGCATTTCCAACATGCAGCTGGCTCACATGCATTTTGTTGCACCAGATATAAGAAACCCAGATGCATGCCAATAGTTTTCATGCACGCCTTAAGACATCCCTGCCAACACGTCTTTAGCTGCTGTGAAATCCAATTTGCTCCCTTATGCAGATTTTGTTCCCTGGTTTTTTTGCTTTTTTGTCACGTTTAAATGTTCCAAATCAATGCATCTCAGTCTCAGAGAATAATAACCTGAATAAATACTTTTCTTAAATGAATTTTTTTATTAATTAAATCATTATAAAAGTTATCCAAAGCCACCTTGCCCAGTGTGGAAATGTCATTGAGCCTTAAACTTAATTACTGTTTGTGATAACTGGTGATGAGTCACTGTGGAAGAACTTTGTCCCACTCTGCAGAAAAGTTTTAATTCAGTCACATTGGAGGGTTTAGCATAAAATATTGTGTGGTTAAAGATAAGGAATTGGTGCTAGGCTAATGTGAATAAGTGTGTCTGTGTGTCAGTAGCACATCCCAAGGTCAAAGCTAGCCTTCCTGACCTTCATCCAGGCACACAGAAGTCCGCCAAGGCCTTAGCAGTCAAAGCTATCAAGGTGAACCCACATTCTTGAGTGTTTTTAAACCACGTTTGTATGCAATCACATATATTTCATTAAGAAGTCGTTGTCTGTCTGTTTGCTGTTTCAGATGCACAAGATATTTTCCATTCAGGGCCCATACCCAGTGATCAGGGCAGCTTTGAGGGCTAGAGGCTGGGTCGAGCAGCCCCTGCAATGCTCCAAGCAGCCGCGTCAGAGCCGTGGGAGCAGGTCCAGTTCAAATGATGTCTGCACCAGCGATGATGGTGAGCTAAACGGCGTCAGAAACGACGTTACTGTCACCAATCGGTGCACCTATCCATTTATGTCCTGTGATTATGATTAATCACTCATAGATAACACAGACTATGCTGAGAGAGAACAGGAGCACGACGAACTACACAGTCTAGTGGTAAAAACAACACATCAGCAATAACAACATCTCTAAACGCTCCCAGATTTTGGTCCTCATCCCATCTCTTTCCTCATTTTATAGTCTCATTATGTGCAGAATGAAATGGTTTATTTCTACTGGCTGAACCGCAGAAATGCCATAGACACCACCTGCCTGCAGAAAAAACAGATCATAAATCACTTTGCAAGGACAGACAGCTTCACCACCAAGGTAAAGTAACTACCTGTGCTTATCCCTTATTTATTCTGCTGTCGCGCTCACCTTCATCACCAATCCTCTCTTCTAAAGGTTGGGTTGTGTATGAACTTGAGAAACCTGCACTGGTTTGCTACAGCTGACCCTGACACCTTCTTCCCTCGCTGTTACAAGCTTACAGCTGAAGACGAGAGGCACGCTTTTATTGGTTAGATGTAGTTTCGTCTGAGCTTGACCCTTGAGCACTCCTCCATCAACATGCTTCTTTTAACCTCCGTCTTCTGTGTAGAGGACTACCGACGAACAGCGTGCACCAGTCTTCTGAAGTACACTGTGGAGCAGGGGCAAAGCGAGGAGACAAATCCCAACTCTCAGAGTGTTCAAGGTAGGATCTTCTTTCCCATGACTGTGTTCTTAATCAGCCTACTGTAACAAAAAAGGCTTTTTTTCTCCTGTACTTCCAGGTCAGAGGAATGGGAAAAACAAGGAATTTAATCCGCTTCCCCTTTCCCAAATGGTCAACAGTGCGCTCGTTATATGCCATGAGTACTTGGGGAGTCTGGAGCACAGTGACATCGACACAAACACAAAGTCATTTACAGAAAAGGAGTGGACAGAGTTTCTCAACAGTTACTACCTTTTTGTTCAGTGAGTGTGCATCAGTGTGTGCTTTGTGAACATCGTTGAGCATCTCCACAGCTCTGTTCTCCCTCCTTCAGTGGTAGAGCACAGACCAAGATCAGTGAGGATTTGTTCAGCTGCTGCAAGGCCATGCTGCAGAGACTGGAGAAAGTCAGTCCACAGTTAAGCATAGGCGGCATGCAAAACCTCTGGATCATCAAACCTGGAGCAAAGTCCAGAGGCAGAGGTACAGACCCAGATGCAGTCAGATGCTTCACTAATGTCTGACTAAGTCCTAATGAACAATTGTGTTTACTTCTCAGGTATTAAATGCATGAAACGTCTCGATCAGATCCTAACGTCGGTGGACATCGATCCAAAACTTCCCAGTAAAGACAAGTGGGTGGTGCAGAAGTACATCGAGCAGCCCTTCCTGGTCCATGGCACCAAGTTTGATGTGCGACAGTGGTTTCTGGTCACCGACTGGAACCCTCTCACTGTGTGGTTCTATAATAAGTGCTACTTACGCTTTTCTACACAGCTTTACTCTCTTGACAAACTGGACAGGTAAGACTATGCACTGATGAGATTCATTTTGAAAAGTAGAAACAGGAAGTGAGAGAGCTTGTCATTTTTGGCGGTGGGTTTGATTCGACATGAATCACAGCTGAGTATTTTTAGGACGGTGGGTATTTGATGCTTTTGTCATATGTGACAAGAAAATTCAAATTTACTTAAAAACTAAAAATAGCATCTGAGACTACAACCCATCCATGCGTAAACTGTATGAAGCAGAGAGCTGATCAAGTCAGGGGTGTGCCAGAAAACGTGAAACATTGAAAACTGAGAAGTAACCATGTGATGTTCATATGTTCATCATATGAACATCACATGGGTATTGCACTTTAACAATGAGTATTGTTAAAATGCAATCTATACCCTGGTTAAGAAATATATGGCCATAAAATATCTGTATCTATAGTCATTTAGTGTAAATAACCACGAGTGCGCAGCTGCATTTAGTGAATCAACTCAAAAGGACCCTGAAAGGGCAAACATCAAGCTCTGTCCAGAACCTTTGCTGGACACGTGGAGATACGGCATGGCCATGATGTGATTGGACTGTTTCAGTGATGGGCCTGGGGGTCCAGGGCTTAAGGCAAGGCAGCTTTATTGGTATACACACAGGCAATTCAATGTGACAGCACAATTAAAATACACAAAAAAAATTTAGATCAAATTAAATTACACAGATTAATTTGAAGTTGAAGAATCAGAAAGCAGGCAAAGTTAAAGGGAGAGCAGTTACAGTGCAGAAGGGGCAGCACAAGAAACATTCATGCAGAGGCTGATGGTTTTCAGTGGTGATTTAAACCTTACTAGAGAAACCAGTACGGTGATCACAGATGGTAACGTTAATGTTATTTTTTCTCTTTTGCTGATTGAGGGTTGTGTTTTGTCCCTATGCCTTCGCATGTTTTCTCTGGGTACGCTGGCTTTTTCTGATATTCCACATGTTAAATGAAAGCCTAACCACCACATGTTAAATGAAAGCCTAACCACCTATAATTAACAAGGTGTTTTCAGATGGGCCCTGGCTTTGTCCATGATGTGTTTTTACCTGCTTACTTAGTAGTGGTTTGCATTAAGATGTGCTGTTCATGTCGCTGTATAGCAGATTGATAACAGACTGCATGTCTTTCAAAAACCCTTCTTTGTCTTCTTTTAAATATTGTACTCTTTTTCTTTATATTCAGCTCTGTGCACTTGTGCAACCACTCTATTCAGAAAAGCCTGAGTCCTGCTCAGCAACGCCATCGAGGCATTCCAGCAGACAACATGTGGTCGGATGAGCAGTTCCGGGACTTCCTGGCCAGCCGAGGCCAGGAAGCTCTGTGGGAGACTGTAGTCGTCCCAGGAATGAAGAAAGCTTTAATCCACACCTTACAGACAACACAGGATGCGACAGAGTCTCGCAAAAATACATTTGAGCTGTTTGGTGCAGATTTTGTGTTTGGTATGATGTCTTGATTGAACATGACACACAATATGCTATTACACACTCTTCATCTGGCTTTAATTAGCTGCAACATAATCAAATCAGCGTTAGACTAAACTACGTATTTTTTAATGTCTAAACCAAAAAAGTGTTTATTATGTGTGTGCATGAGTTTAATAACAGTTCTTTGGGCTTTTGTGTTTTTCAGGTCAGGACCTGCATCCCTGGCTAATTGAAATCAACTCCAGCCCCACCATGGCTCCCTCGACCACTGTGACCGCTCGCCTTTGCGCTGCTGTGCAGAAGGACACGTTACGAGTCATTCTGGACCGAAAACGTGACTGCACTGCAAACACGGGAGACTTTCAGCTTATATATGAGCAGGTAAAGCGCCAGTGTGCACACAGGTGGTGCAAGCAGCAGTTCTAATGTAACCTTTTGCCTGCAGGCAGCAGTGGAAGCCCCAGCCTACACAGGAGTCAACCTGCGCGTCGAGGGCCTCGCTGTTCAAAGGCTCTGCCGTCTTCCTCCACTGGGGTCGTCCCGTCATTCAGCAGCAAAACGAAACAGAAAGGAAAACGCTGCAGCAAAGAAAGAGACATCTTTGCTTAAGGTGTCTGTGGAGAAAGAGGCACTGAAGAACAACAAAGTTCCTCTTCATCCAACCAAGATCAAACTCAACCTGCCAACGACAGTAAACAAGTCTTCTTTGAGTGAAAAGTCACATTCTGAGTCAAACTGGAAGAGACAAGCAGATGTTAAACATGTGCATCTGGACAGCGTTCAGCTTTCGATTACAGAGAAATACAAAGTTTCTTTGCTCCAGGACGCGACTGCTCCTAAACTTCCCAGATTAGCAGTGAAGCACTTTGCAAATGCATAAGAAAATAAAATAAAAACCTCCACGATTTTACATTTTCTATTTTTTGCCTACCGACACCAAAATAAAACCTGAATTAAATTTTTTTTATATGCTGTAAATTATTTTTGTGAGGTGGTGTTCCAGTGAATTTCCTGACGACATGTATTTAAGGTGTTTGTACTTTCATCTTTAGAGTTATATGATCCTTCTCAAACTGGCGGTGATCAACAGGGTCCTAAGATGTTCCGGTCTTTGCATGAGTCACTGGGAACAGTAAAATCAGGAGAGTCCAGTAAACAAAATGTTTGGTGGATGCACAAAGTCTAATTTCTATTCTTAAAAATGTACGTCTTACATTTAAAACCGTCTTGGAGAGAAAAGAAATTTTTGAATGATGCACAGATGTGCAAGCTCTTTTTTTGGTTAAGCATCTATAGACATAACTCTCAACCTGATTATAAAGTAAATTAATAATGTAAAGAAGATTTAGGTGAAGTGGGATCCTAAAAATGTGCAAAATATTGCTTATTGCAAAAATTTGGCAACAAATAAAATCAAAATCAATAAAAAACATAAAAAATGTAGAAGATCCCAGTTAGTTAATAATTTCAGGTAAAATTAAAACATTTGTATTGTTTCAACAGGGAAAAAAAGCTAAGAAATTATGGAATTGTAATAATTTTGATCAAATTAAAAATAATAAATAAATTGTCATCTGCAAATTCAAGACCTTGTAAGGTGAGATGGACCCAAAACATCTATCAGTTGTAGACGTATCTCCAGTGGAGACTTTCTGATGATTTTGATACAATCAGTTTGGTGGTAATGGGCTATTTTGCTAACAGAACCCACACAGACACAGGCAAAAACATTATCACTTTTTTGTTAAGCAGGGGGCTAAAAATGTAGCTAACAAATGTTATTTTATTTTTTAATTTGTTTGCATATTGTTGGACTCTGCAAAAAGGTTTGCATGTAGAGTAGTGTTTATAGTAATAATAATGATAATGATAATTTAAATAATTGTATTTATTTGATGGTATAAATGTTAAAAAGTACGTTCATTAGATGAAAATTAACATTTTAAATCCAGTGAAAGAACTCAAAGCTTCTACCAGTAATACCAAGAATGACCACTTGGTGGCGGTAACAACCAGTAAAAATCAAATACAATTTCGTAGAAGAAAACCGCTGCCTTCTGAACGGAGTTGAGAAATGGCGGCGTCTGTGTGCCGAGTTGGAAGCACCGTGGGTCGAGCCCTTGCCAAAAGTCGCAGTGTGAGTATCTATAAAAAACGAATGAAATACCATCACATTGTGAAATATCTAAACCGGATAGCTGCTGGTTGAGCTGGAGGACTCACTGAGTCGGAGGAAGTTAGCTAACCGGTTAGCATCACGTAGCCTCCCGTAAATGAAGGTCAACTGACACATTGAGCATAGCATTTATAACCTTTGATCAACATTTAGAATCCACTTCATACAAAAGATTGGTCATCATTTTAGTCATTCGTTCGCTACCACTTAGCTAATACTATTGATGTTCTTGATTTGTCCTCGCTACAGTGTTGGCATCGCAGCAATGTTGTTACAGTGGCTTAGGTTTCGTGGTAGTTTGACAAAAAATAATATTAATATTTCAAAGTGGCAATGAGATGGATGATTAGCTGAGTCTAGTGAAGGGCTCTGTGTTGTTCTGTTATCTATACGTGTAACAACCAAATACTAAAACATTTTTAACGTATCCAGAGTAGCAGGCAGATGGGTTAGCAATGTAAAGATGTCTAGACCAGCTCAGAACAAACCCTCTGGACTGTAAGGTTCTGGGAGTGATTACCTTAACACCCTACACGACTTAGTTTGGTATAACTTAGCAGACATGTTCGTACAATTCCAATAATTGCTTTACACCTTCTATGCACTAGCTGTTTAATCTGTTGGGCAGGGTAGATCACCCTACACTAGGCTTTCATTTGTTTCAAATCTAAGAGCTCTTTGATGGACAAAACCAAATGTGAAATCGCTGAGAGGAAACACACACACACACACATACCAAGTATTTTCTTGGGTTTAATATTTAAAAGACCAATTTATAAAGTAAATGGCCAGTTTTAAGTTTCTTCTAATTGCTAAATAAAATGTACAGGATGGTTTCCATCTAAATATTTTTTCCACTTTTCCTTTCCAGCCTGTTCTGCTGTCTTTGAGGCGTGGCCAGGCTTCAGTCAGCTATGCACAGAGCCTCTTAGGAGCCCCTGAGACCCAGCTCACTGCCCTGGACAATGGTTTGAGGGTTGCATCTGAAGATACTGGACATGCAACCTGCACTGTAAGAACACACTAATATCTTCCTTTTAATATTTTTTGTGGGGAGAGCGTTAACTGAAGGTTGCGGTTCACAGCGATCATTACATTGTAATGCTTTTCTTTTTTCACAGGTTGGACTGTGGATTGGTGCTGGCAGCCGTTATGAGAACGAGAGGAACAATGGAACAGGCTTTTTCCTGGAGCACATGGCTTTCAAAGTAGACTTTGTTAAAGTTTTTTTTTTAAAAATTAAATTAAATTAAATGTACCACAACCAATTTGCCCTTCATTCACTTTATTTGCTGACTGACATGTTATCCACATGTCAGTCACCTAAGCCTTAAGGTGCCTTCAAATGCAATGGGATTGAGCTTTATGTTGCATTTGCATTGTCTGGTTGTTGATATACAAATATTATGATCTCTGGTGACTTTTTAGCTGCAGCTAAACACAGTTTAAGCAAGAGGTCGTAAATCAGAAGGGGTTGAAAGAGTAAAAAAGTTCCACTGCAAGAAAAATCACAAAAAACACAAGAAGGAGTAATGTAGTTATCCAACTTTTAAACCACCTTTTATTCATAACATTGTCGAAACTCTTGCACTAATGTTTTGAAAGTTTTAAAACATTAAAAAAATTGCTTGTCTGCATGGGGTGTGCAAAACTGTGCGTCTTCAATAACATTACACAGCATTTTATTGGTTACAAACACACACATGAAACATTCGAAGCTAACTTAAATCTGTTAACAGCAAAATATTTGATCAGAATCAGAAAAAAATGTTGTTGATCTCAGAGGGAAATGTATGTATCCTAATTTTTCATGCGGGATCTTAATGTACTCCTGTTTTTTTCTTGTTTTCTTGTTTATTTTTTGCACATTTAAAATGGTAAATGGGTTATTTGATAAGGCACAGCCCTGGTATTACTCAGACTCATTGATTCATGTTTCCTTCCACCCTGCAGGGAACTAAGAAGCACACCCAAACAGCTCTGGAACAGCAGGTGGAGTCTATGGGGGCCCATCTGAGTGCCTACACCTCCCGCGAGCACACTGCATACTACATGAAGACTCTAGCCAAAGATCTGCCTAAAGGTAAGAAAGCATGTTTATTGTTGATCTTATTTAATTGACTGTAACCTATTTACATTTGAAAGATTTAGAATAAACTATTGTCACAGTTACCGTACGTCTCTTCTCCAGCTGTGGAGCTTCTGTCGGAGGTTGTTCAGAGCTGCTCACTGAACGAGGCAGAAATCGAGCAGCAGAGGGGCGTGGTGCTGCGGGAACTGGAGGAAGTTGAGAGCAACCTGCAGGAAGTTTGTCTGGACCTGCTGCATGCCACCGCTTACCAGGGCACTCCTCTGGGACAAAGCGTGATGGGCCCCTCCAGCACTGCAAGGTGGGCGCAGCTTGGAAGTTTATGCGCAAACCTGTACATTTATACCCTTGAATGGCACAATTAAACCATCTTTTACCACAGTGTCATAAAATCTGGATTGTTTTCTTAGTTGGTCTTTGTTTTCACCGCTCACAGGAATCTGACCCGTCAGGATTTAGTTGAATACATCAACATCCATTATAAAGCTCCTCGTATGGTGCTGGCTGCAGCTGGAGGTAGGCTGTCTGGTCTGGTTTCTGTTTTTCACCAGATGGCTCGTTTTATTTTCTAATGGCCGTGCTTCGTCCACAGGTGTTAATCATGAGGAGCTGGTTGGTTTGGCCAAATCTCACATGAGTGGTGTGTCTTTTGAGTACGAGGGAGATGTTGTCCCGGTATTGTCCCCCTGCAGGTTCACTGGTAGTGATGTAAGAACAGGTTTTTCTTGCATCAATTGTGATTCTGTGACTTAAACACATTGGTAGGAGCATTTCTTCCAAAGTACAGTGTATTACGTTTTTCTGTTCATCCCCAGATCCGGATGCGTGATGATGCCCTGCCTCTGGCACACGTCGCCATCGCCGTAGAGGGCGCTAGCGCTTCTAGTCCAGACATTGTGCCCCTTATGGTGGCCAACGCCATCATAGGCAGCTATGACCTTACCTATGGTGGTGGAAAGGTAAGTAACGATGGAATTGTTTCCCTCTTACATAGTTCTACACCACACTTGCTGCACTTCTGGAACACTGCTGGGAGTAAATAAGCTGTTAGGTCACTTGTATAGACGTAATCTACATAGATATGAATGAAATTGCATTGTTGCAATAGTCTTTTATTTAGAAAACTACAGAAGGTCTTACATTGAAAGCGTGTGTGATTTCCTATCTAGCCCTATGTTAACTGGACATCGTTATGTCCCAGAAACGACTCGCCACGAAAATAGAACCCGATCCTATCTTTAGTGGCGCAGCGCGGCTTGGCGCTTCTGGGATGCGGTTGAAAACTTCCGCGTCGCGGTTGGTTTGAATCACCCCCACAGACTATAAGATTCATTTGAGTCATTGCCGCTCTTCTGCCGCTCCGTGCTGCCGATGCTTCCCGTGTGAAGGAGGGGTAAGTGTGTAGTTTTAAAAAGACCGTTGTAACTGGAATAAAATAAATCATTATTGTGATTCAGAAAAGTCCCTTTTGAGCTTTGCCCACGTGAGACGTTTAGTGTCTTATGTGGCCATTAAAAAAGGTACAACAAAGTTCTGTCTGATAGAGGTGTGAATCTTCACTTGTCTCCCGATTCGATTGCGATTATTGGGTCAATGATTCAATTCGATTTGATATCCCGATGCATCACGATTATTTCTTATGAATTTGTTTTCATCGATGAATAGAAGATGTCAGATAATTGCTTTTTATTTATTATTTTTAATAAAAAACGTAATTGACACAACCTGCCATCCCTCAAAAACTCTCCATTCACAACAGGTTAGGACAAAACATTTTAAACATTTAAGAAGATTTAACAAAGTAAAACAATCTGTTTCCTCGTTCAACACCACGCCTCAGGCTGAAAAAAACACGCTTTGCAAAAACTCACAAAATCTGAAAAAATACTGAAAACCTACAGGACACATAATGTAATAATAAAATACATAACTGGTTCATATATGAGTGTTTAATGTCTCTGAGCAGCTTTAGAGTCAAATATTTATGCCACAGTTCAAGGGTGTCAGAAATAACACCAAATGAAATGTTTGACTTAGTTTTTTTTATTTGAACCCAGTGGTTCATTTCTGAAGTGTTGGAGAATGAATCAAGTTCTGTTTGATGCAGAAAATAATAAAACATAAAACAAGTTCTAAACGTACAATAATATTTAAGATGTGTGTTTTATTCTTCCTGATAATAACACCAGCAGAAGGCTGTGGGCTGGATTAGGATTAAATTATCCAGCTGATGGATCTCTTTCACTAACCAGCTAACTACAAACCTTTCCACTAACCTGTCCTGTGTGACCCTCACCATGTAACCCTCATGTCCATGCTGTCTCTGGAGGAGTAGATAGGAGACAAGTCTCCTGTAACCTAAAATGAACCAAAGCTTCCTCCCAGCTTCTCTTTAAGCTGAATTTAACATCAGTTTATCATCATGAAACAAAAGAATAAAGTGGAACAAGAACTTCTATCTTCTATTTCTCTCTCCTTTTAACTTCTCCGTGTCCCTAAATAAGAGACAGACGGTTACGCTGCAGCCGCCCTGATTGACCCCGCCCCCTCCCCAAGACCGGATCTCCCGGCATCACAACACTCGGTCTGACTGAGCGCTTCGAGGAGAAATAATAATTAAAATAATATAATGCGTTTTTGGAGCATCGGTTTGGAGGAGCGTCCTCCGATCCTCTCTCTTGTGGGAGCAGACAAAGTCTCTCTATCTCTATCTATCTATATCTCACTTGCTGTGCGAGCGAGTGGAGCGCGCTGCCTGACAACCCGCTCAATTAACATAATTCACGGCCCAAATCCAACAGAACCGGTCGGGCGGATTCGGTTCCGGTTCTGTCTCAGGTTACAACTCTAGCGCTCAGCCCTGCAGAACCACATTAAGGCGGAACCACTTGGTAAATGTGGAGGACGCTCACTCTGACAGATATGGATGCTGCGCTAGTGACGCCGTTAAAAAAAACAAAACTACGTTCCACTATAATCGATTACGGCGTACTCTTCTACGATGCAGAATCGTTTATGTCCGCTTCCCGATGCATCGATTATTTGATTATTTTCCTCAGCTCTACTGTCTGAGCACGTGAGTCTGGGCTTTTCCCTCTGCTTCCAAACCTGTCGGGTAGAACACAACACAACAAATTACAAGCTGCAGAAAGACCCTTCTGTGTCTGTGTTAGGACTGCTTGATTTTGGAAGCAAATGCATCACAATTGTCATTTTGGCATTGCAGTATATTTATGCATTTACTCATTGAGCTGGGAAAACAGACTGGATGTGTTTTTGTTTTTCACATGAAAACAACGCTGCAGAGCTGCTCGTCAAAATAAGAGCACCACACTTTGCATTTTAGGATCTGTGTTAATTTTAACAAAGGTATTTATTGTTATAGGCTGGAGTTGTATGTTTAGAATGATTAGCTTCAGATATTTATGTAACCAACAGTTTGGTGAGACTGCAGGTTGCGAGCGGTGCTGCTTATAGGGATTAAAACTTGACTTTGTCAATTATGAGACCAAAACTGCCTTTATCATTGTAGACCTGATGCAGACTACCATAGAAAAATGCCTGTGTCATCTAATTAGGAAAATAAGAGTAAATAGTTTCATAACGTTCAACCTTTATTTCAAAACACACGTCGACACCAATGAATTAAACTTAAATAGTAGTAGATTGATCACGTGACGACGGCCAGTGCTGCTGTATCAGCAGAGGACAGCTGGAGGATGCACATGGGTGTGTTGAAGTAGGAATGTGTGTACAGATATCTCTGGGTTCTTCGCCAGAGTGTGTGTGGTGCCATAATATAAACATAATGGTGTGTTTTACCTTTATTTACCTTTTTATGACTTTGGTTGTGAAGACTCTTCAGACTAACTTGTTCTTCCCTCCTCTGATGCAGCACCTGAGCAGCCGTCTGGCTCGCATCGCCGTGGAGGACAAACTGTGTCACAGCTTCCAGGCGTTCAGCTCCTCCTACAGCGACACTGGCCTGCTGGGCATCTACTTTGTCAGCGATAAGCACCACATTGATGACATGATGCACTGGTCCCAGAACGCCTGGTAATTCTGAGTGACAGATGAAAGCCAAAAGGTTGCTGAATTTTAGACAAATGATTTAATTCTTGTGTTCTTTCCTCTGCAGGATGAACCTTTGCACCACCGTCACAGAGAGCGATGTAGCCAGAGGTCGGAACGCTCTGAAGGCCAGCCTGGTTGGACAGCTCAATGGTACGTGATCTAACATGAACATCTGCAAAGATCCCATGAACTGGAAGTCACCACCCGCTACTGTTACAGGAACAACACCAATCTGTGATGAAATTGGCCGACACGTCCTGAACTACGGGCGTCGTGTCCCTCTTGCAGAGTGGAACGCTCGTATCGATGTAAGTGAACTTGTTATGGTGGCGTGGAGCGCTCAGACGGAACCGTAGCTCTCCTTTGGGATCACGTTCTACTGACTCTGTTCTTCTTTAGGCCGTTACCCCCAGTGTGCTGCGTGACGTCTGCTCCAAATACATCTACGACAAGTGTCCTGCTGTGGTAGGCGTCGGTGAGTTCTGAGTACTTTTAGTCTTCTAGCAGCAGACGTGGTCATGATTGTCTAACCGGTACCTCTGTTTGTCTCCATCAGGCCCCATCGAGCAGCTGACGGACTACAACAGAATCCGCAGTGCTATGTACTGGCTCAGGTTCTAAGAAAACTAGTGGTGTGGCTCTTTGTGTTTCCTGTTGGCTCTTATTTCCCTCCTGGACCTCACCTCTCTGGCCTGATGTCATCAGTAGAGGAGTGAACACCTGAATATGATGCCATGATGGCTCAGGCCTCCATCCATCCTCCTTCCCATCTGACTCCCTCTGTCCTCCCGCCCACTCAGTACTTAAACATGCGAGGGGGACAGTCTGGTCACCTACTGGTTATACTCACCATACCATACTGTGTTGTAGACGGAATAGCAGTCGGCTCACACATAAGAATGATCTAAATGACAGTCGGTATGGAGGAAGAGTATATTTATAAATTGCTGGAACATTTAGTTTCTGTCCAATAATGTAAATAACAGAAGCTGTCATTCTGACAAAAATAAAAGCAAAAAAACTCAAAAATGTGTCTCGTTTGTCTGCTTTTGTGTTAAAACATTTTTATCTTTTAAAAAGACAAAAGTGCAAAGATTGTATTTTATTTTGTTGAATTGTTTTTTCAGGAACTGTGAAAATATTTTTCAGCATCAAACAAACGTTCTCTAATTGTTTTCATTTAGAAAGGGGGAAAAGCTCCAACCCCGATGTGAAGTGTTCACAAGTCTGCTGTTAAAAGAACAAATCGGAACGGAAATGAGCTCAAACGCAGAGCGGTGCTTCTGTGAAATAATCGGGCTTATTGTGCAGGAAGTTGTGAAGATGAAGAATAAAAATTAAATCATGATGTCACAGATAAGCAGTGAAGCACATGGAGAATTAATTTTATCTTCCAGAGTTCCTTTCACAGTTTTGACCAGGACTGGATAAGAGCAAAAACAAGATGAACGTAAGAGAAGTTTCATCTTGTGAGCAGACATTAGAATATATAAAGCTTTTTGTGTCAGATCCACATGTAGGTTGTGTGTGCTATAGTAATTCATAATTTTTATTAAAAGCCATTCTTAAACAGTGGTTCCCATCCTGGGGTCCGTGGCCCCCTAAGGGGGTCCCCACAGTTGTGTCTGCTTATAAAAATGACATTCATAAAATTCCACTAGCACATTCAATAGTATGTTTGACATAATTTATACATGTGTGACTTATGTGGTTGTTAATGATGAATCTGTGGATCTGAGACGTGAACCCAAAGTCCGTAAGGCTCCAGATTTCTTCGTCCTGTTGGATTTATTTGCTCCCATCATTAGTCGGATGAAGACGAGTCCTTTGATGGGGCGGATGGGAGGTGACTCAAGAAGCAAAGCAGGCTTTTGTGTTTTTTAACTCTTCTGTGCCTGAAGCCTCCTCTTCATCTTTGTGGCTCATCTCTGCTGAAGATCATGTGTCCAGTTTTCCACTTATGTCATCTTTAACCCCCCCCCCCCCCCCCCCCCCAACAACATAAGGTAATAAATCATCTTATTATATGATATTAGATAATTCTTCCGTCATTACAAATTTGAAACCAGAATGATTATTCTCTTTTTCTGAACATAAATTGCACCTTTGTAAGCACACTTCATTCACTCCTCATATCTGCAGCATCATGGTTTTTTTTGATGTGTGAGCAATTTTTAGATTAATTAAACAAATTCACAAATTCTAGCAGCTGGTCGATGCTGAACTTGGGACACGGCTGCGCCGTCTGCTCCGGCTCTAAGCTGTAGCATCTCTCCAACTCATTAAAGGCAAGCTATTGTGATTAGCATCATGTTATTTTTAGAAAGACGGACAGCAGTGGATGCAAAGGAAGTGAAACGAAACAAGGGGAGGGCACTGGGGGTGTGTGGGGAGGTAAAGAGGAGAGGAGGAGGAGATAACATTTCAGAGAGAGAAGTGGCAGAGGACCACAGTGGACCAGCAGCTGGTTGTCTAGACCAGTTCAGGGTTGATCCTCCACAGCCGGGACACAGAGGACAGGTGAGCCCCACCAGAGGACGGACAACTGCCTTTTGGACAAGCTTGTAACTTTTCACAGTGGTGAGAAAGGGTGAGTAGATGTCTTCCACCACTCAGTAACAATCTGTCAAACTTAGAAATGAATGATTAAAGAGAGAGAGCATCGTGTTCAGAGGTTTCAGAACATTCAGAATTTGAACTTTTTTTTTTCCACATATAGGCACCAGTCACCATCGGTCACCAACAACAGGCACAATCCATTTAGGAATATTAGGAATTCCATCTCACAGCAGGTTGTTGTTTATAATAAGTTTTAGCCGAGACGTGTGATTCTTCCCTGTGCAGACGATCCTGACCATGAGAAGTGTGTGTTTCTGCCTGGCTCTGCTGCTGCCCTGGTGCGTTCAGAGCCAGAGGGGCCATCCAGCTCTTGCCCAACTGGACGAGGACACGCAGAGGGATGTGCTGGCTGTTGACATCCTCGACCGCAGTGGCGTGCTGAACTCGCTGCTCCGGTCAGAGCATCACCTGGTGCTGAGGCGAGCGCGACCCATGCGTCCCTCTTCCCAGGTACCAAAACGAGCCCAGCAGGGGTCCCGCTTCGCCCTGTCCCTCGACGTCCCCACCAGCATCCTCAGCGTCCTCATAGACCTCGCCAAGAACCAGGACATGAGGTCCAAAGCTGCAGCCAACGCAGAACTGATGGCACGGATCGGCAAAAGGAAATGAAGAAATCACGGCATCATCGTACCCGACTCAGCACACAAACGGACTCTGGAGAAACATCTGGACTGATGTTAGTCATTACAAACAACACACTATGTTAGCCGCTCTGTTGCTTGGGAGATTCTTAACCACTGGGTCTTGAACTGTGCTTTGAAACTGTGTCTGCATGTGTGACTTTAAACCCAAAGACAAAAAATGTTGTACAATTAAATCTAATGTGATAATCACATTTCTTCCTCGCATCTAATTCATTTCTGCTCTCATATCAGCCACGCTTAGTCTAATTACAAGCATCAGCGGCCCATAAAGCACAGCTGAATGGGTCCGAACCAACGAGCCAGCGCCACCCAGCAGGATCTGATGTCAGATAGCAGGACAAAGACGCAGGCAGGATATTGACCTCTGAGAGGAGAACGCACCTTTTGTTCAGTAATACTTGATGAATTTGGCAAATAAGACGCAGCTATTTTAAGTTTTATCTGCTCTGGATTAGACGGCTATCTGTGGGATGACTCATCTGTGCTCCTGAGCAGAAAACGAGAAGCTCATCGGATTTGAGTTTGTTGTGCTTCTCACTGGTCATGGCATCACTTATTTTTCTTCCATGTATCACATCAGATGGGTGCAGCTTTAATTACAGACAAACTGGGTAAAACGTGCATGAAGAGCTGCCTCCAGAACTCAAGAATTATCCCTGATTCAACTCTGAAAATTATCAAATTGTGTTTTAGTTATTTAGTCATTTATGCACAGTTGAATCAACATCTACGGATGCTCAGCTAATGATAATTATACTTCTTCTTTGTTGATGAATTAAGCTGATTCATTCTGGAGCCAACTAAGCATTATTCATTATTTCAAATTTCACATTCTGGTGAAGGATAATGCCTCGAACATTTAATTGATTAAAGTAATTAAATTATCCTCATCTTTTAGTTTAAGACCTTTAGGCAGGAGCTCTGCTGTATGTAATAATTTCATCTTCCTGCTGTCCTTGTTCGGCCTCCATTGCACAACTGGCCCAGACTATAACGTGCTTCTGCAACAGCAGCTGGTGATGAATGCGAAACAGTTTAAATTAACTTAAAAGTGAAGAGGACTTTCATTTAAGATGTATAATTGTGTTATCTGCACATAGCAGAGCTGCTGTGATGAAAGCTGATTTTGCATTTTTTCCCAACATCATACAGACTGGTCCGGATGACTATCCTTCTTTAATAAATTAGAATACATTAAATTATCACTTGAAAACGATTTGGGGAATAAACAACACAACACATATTATTCAAATTCCATAGCCTTTGAAATGTGATGGCAACAAAACACACTTTGTTTAGTTGTTTTCATCTGCACTGATTTGACTTAATTCAGAGCGGACCTTCCAACTAAGTTCTGCGGCTGGCGCATCTTGTTCCTAAGGTGCGCACACACGCACATGCAGTCCTACATGCACGAGACAGCGAGCGCGCACACAGAAGAAGTCATCAAAATGACGCACTTCACCCTACCAGGTGTTGTCAATCATCACGGTGAGTAGGTCTACTTATTTTTATATTGCCGACGCAAAAGCCGGCAAGAAGTTCAGCGAAGGCGGGGTCGGTTCAATACCGGCCTAGAAAAAAGAATGATCATGAAAAAAAGTCCCTTTGTCTATTCTGTACCCCCAAAGGCGAAGGGTATGAAAAATAAATCAGTTACCAATTCGTTCCACCTAAATGCGGCAAATAGTTTAAAGAAAGCAATGTGGCAATTTTGTGTTATTAAAATTGAGCGCAGGCTCCGCCCACTGCGGCGACGTGCGCCGGCGTCTAAAATGGTGAAAACTCAGGGCCCAGGAGAAGAAACTTCACAAGGAAGCCAGAAAAAGTGAGTCTGAATGTTTTGTTGGGCCCTGTTCGCTCATTCATCTTTCTTTTTTATCCTTTGGTAACGTGATGTGTTTTATATGACTTTAGAGTGATATCATCCAGAACATGATAATCGTGATTTACTAAAGGAAGACCGTGTCATTTTGAAGCTCTATTACCCATTAAAGAGCAAGACTCTCTCAAACCCATTAAAACCTCCTTGTTTATATGGGTGTACTTCAGTTAACATGGAAATTACTTTTTGTAGGCCTGTCTAATAATTTGTTAGGGATTTGGACCTTTGTTTTAAAGCCTTGTCTGTTGAGTGCTAATGCAAATGTCCTTTAATCTGTTTTACATTAATGTAATTTAACCAGTTTGCCCCTTTTTAAATTTTAATGCAGTCCATTTGAGGGTTTAAGTATTTGTGGAACTTAATCCGTCCAAAGAAGGCTATAGTATGTAATGTTCTTATGATTAATTCATTTTTGATAGTTTACCTTTTTTAAAATGCATTAAAATCAAGTTTACCTTTTAAAAATGCATTAAAGTCATTAGTATAGTTCTTTACACCTTTTATTAATGTAGGCCAAAAGTGTTTCCATGTGATCTCAGCCAGGTGAAGGCTAGAGGATACAACATAACTGGGCGGTCCAGGTACACCTTGCATAAGGTGACGCTGCAAAATAACGCGGATGATGCTTTGAACTATGACCTAATAAAGGAATTTTCCTAAATAACTTACCAGAGTAATCCTAAAGTAGCAACATTCTAAGTAAATCTTAAAAAAAGCAAGATGAGATCCTGCTGTAATTGAAGTGGTTTGGTATCTACTAAGCCAACATAATGTTTAAAGTTGCATAGCTCTTTACATGACTGGGTCACATGTGACCCAAAGTCAGCGGGGAGTGCCTCTGAGAGTTTCTCAATAAAGCTGATAAATGGTAACCAGCTCAACAGTCATTGGCACAAAGTTCAGCGACCAAGTGGTGCAAGAGGCCGTAAAGGGAGAGGAGTATTCAAGTTAACGCTGGGCTTTCGAACGAGCTAGAACCAACTTTTTTTAGGAGGAAACAACCTTCAAAAGGATTACATTAGAACCTTTAAAGGACAACTGCTGGTGGACGGACACAACTTAATAACCGACCGTAAGATAATTTTTTTGTCTTGTTAGTTTTTTTCAGTCCTATGTCTTAAAAGATGCCATACGTAGACATCTGGGTGTGAGGTAGAAGTTTCTTTCTTTAAATTTCTAGAAGGAAAAAAACCCAGATCTAACTCTGGTTTCCTGGAAACGTATCTGACCATTTTTGATTTAAGTTTAAAACATCCTCTGCTATCTTTATGACAGCAAAAGACCCAAAAACATTTTAAGACTCCTCCGCAATCCTGAAAACTGTTGATCAAGATCACTTTAAAACAGGGCTGTCCAAACCATCCAAGATTAGGTCCAAATCATCATATCAAGGCTTTGTGGGCCACAAAAATGTTGCTTTTATATATATAAAAAAATTGCAAAAACTATATCGAGGAATTTATTTTTAATTTCTCTAAATAGGCATATTAGTAAAAATCGAATCTAAAATGTTAAAGCATCAATCTACATCAACTGCTGAAGCAAAAATCATTATTCTGAAAATGCAGGTTGGTGCAGCATCAAAAATGGCCCCCGGGTGGCGCTTTGGACATGCTTGCTTTTAAAAGAAGCCTGGGAAGCAAAAACCTGCCCAGTACTGCAAATGACCTTGTTGCTGTTTCAGGGTGATGAGCTCTCAGATGGACTATGCCATGAGGTCTCTCAGCCTTCTGACTCCATCCACCTTGTCCAAGTAAGACCAGAGCCCCGTCAAATGGATGCTGAAGCCTCCTCAGAACATGAAGGCTTAAACTTCAGACATTTCTTTTCTCAGAGTTGTAACATCGAGTGTGTCAGCGAGCGCCTCCATGACCCAGCAGCTGCTCTCAGGTCGAGCTTCTCGTCCAAAGCCCTTCAGAGTCACCAATGCAGACCGCAGTGCAAAGAAGGGAATTATGGCAGAGTCGCTACTGGACCTGATTAATAAGGTGAGGCTGAGAGATGCTGGAGAACTCTGAAATTCTGGAATCACGAAAGCAAGCCTCTTTAAAATGCATTATTTGTATTTTGAGACGGGTTTTATCATTTGTAACCTGCTTAATCCCCTGAATGCGGTCTACATTTTCAGGTCAGTGACTCGTTGAGTTTACAGTGCTTCTGCTCATTGGTTCTGGATGAGGATGGCACCGGTGTGGACACGGAGGAGTTCTTCCAAACGTTGCCAGAGAACACGGTTCTCATGGTCCTGGAGGAGGAACAGAAATGGGCCCCACATCCTGTAAGGCTCTATTTGCAATTACTACCACTAGGTGGAGCTCTTCGTCAGTCAACTGCTCTCAGCAGACCTCAACTTCACACTTAGGTTGACAATATTAAGCATTCATTGATGGATTGATGTTTTCCAGCAGTGCAGTTGATGAATGTAGACATATGAGAAAAAAAATAATAGAAAAAAAAAACAGAAACATGGTGAACTCCAAAAGTTTGTTTCTTCATAATTTGTTAGTAAAACGATTAGCAGGAGTTAAACACCAGAGTCATGGGAGTGAAGTGGTATTCACAGTGGGAGTTTTTAAAATATTGTGCTGATTTCAGTCCGTCCGTGTCACAATCGTCTTGACTGTAATCAGTGTTGCTGCTTCTGTCTGATTGACCTCACTCTCCTTACAGAGCAGCCCGTCCAGAAATCAGTCCCTCGAGCGATTCAAGCAGCACCGAACAGACGTGGCCAAGCTGACTTTCGACCTCTACAAGAACAACCCCAAAGATTTCATTGGCTGCTTGAACGTGAAGGCGACCCTGTACGGGTCTTACTCGGTGTCCTATGACGTGCGGTGTTACGCAGCCAAAAAGATCCTGAAGTGAGTGAATATGATTTTTGTAGATTTAGGCTAAAGGTTTTCAATCATCTAAGGTGGGTCTGGAGCCACATGTGTCTGATTCTTCAGGTCCTCTGATGTATGGAACTCCAAATTGTTCAAAATTGAATAAATACATTATGAAACATGTATCTACATAATTCAATACTAGACAATGTCGTAATCTGTCAATCAAGGCAGAAGGGGTGACATGCAAAGCCATTGGCTAATCTTTAATTATCATTTAGCTAATTTCCACATAAGTATGTATTGCACCTTCAGGCCCAATTTGATGCTCTGTGTGTGATTGCTAATGTCTGAATCACTCGGAGTCACAACTGACTCTGCCCTGTTTGACTTGATTGAGACATTCTGCTGAAAAGTGTCATTATGAAAGACATCAGTCATTGGAAAATAACATTATCATGAAATCAAAGCTGACTTTGTGAAAAGGATGTTAAGTAATAAAAACAAACAATCAAACACAAATACCTCTAATAACTAGCAATTTGAAGAACTGAAAGTGTTCTAGTTTACAACACATCAGTTTGCTTTCCCAACTTGCTATTTAGTTTGAAATATTTGACAAAATAAAAACCGTCACAATGCAACATTAAGTGCAATACATGTATATAAATACATGGAGATATGAAACTTTAAAATGTATGAACCTTAATTTTAAGGGTCCAGTTGATTTTGTAACTCGGTTTGCATTTTATTTTGCAGTAGAGATAAAATTCTTCTGACGTTGCACTCTCTTATCCTAGAGTGCCCAAAAACAACTTCTTCAACTTGTTTTGAATAATTTTGAGAGAATTAAATGGCTGAAATCTGATCTTTATTAAATGAATAACGCGATTCTGAAAACCTGACTGTTTCGCACCGACGGCCAAACACTGCATGTGGACCAGAACCACAAAGACCCTGATGACCCTTCGCAGCAGGGATATTCAGTCTTTGTTCTGGAGGACCTCTACCTGCATGTTTTCTGTGTTTCTCTGCTCCAGCACTCCTCATTTGAATCAATGGGTGATTGACTGGCTTCTAAAGCACTTGAGAACTCACTGGAGAGCAGTTTGGATCATTAAATCAGGAGTTTTGGAGCAGGGAAATGATTTAAACATGCAGGGAAGTGGCCTTATATGGCCAGAAATAAATAGCCTTGAACTAATGGGAGGATCTGGGGTTGATTAGTAACTAGGTCACATTAACAAAGTTCTCATTACGGATTAAAAGTGTATAATCTGCATTTTTCTATTTGAGTTAAAAGGTTTTCCAGAAATGTACACAAGTCTAGTCTTCTTGGAAGATTGAAAAGGTCACTTAACAAAATTCAGTTTTAGAAATGACAATAAGGATTTATTTTTATGTTTGACACATTTGGCCTCCTTTGCTGTATGTTATCAACTGTTTAATGTATCCAGTATTGCCTCTAACTCCAGAAATGCTGAACAGGAAGTCATCATTTGCTGAGTGATTGTGATAATAGAGGGAGCTTAGAGAGGAACAAAGGTTAAATTTCAGAGATTAATTTCATAAAGCGTTACGGCATCACTACAGCGACCTGCTGGATTTTTAGCTTTGACATTGAGCCTTAAAGAGGATTAGAGTGTATAGATTTATCAAATCGGATGCCCACGTTGCTGCTGAAGACCTCTGAGGTCTTTGAATCGTGTTTTTAAAGAAACCCTATCATTAAAGATAGGCTTATGTTTAATATCTTGTGAAAACATCGGGTCACACTCTTATGTATGCCATGTTGCATCGGTGCTGTGTGTTTGTGTCTACACACGGGAAATGAATATTCATGCCCCCTCTTCTTATAGGGAAGCTCTGAGATGGACCATCTTCTCCATGCAGGCCACGGGCCACATCCTGCTGGGCTCCTCCTGCTACATCGAGCAGCTGCTGGAGGAAGAGGAGCGGGCTGAGAAGAGGCTGACGCTGCCACAGGAGAGCCGGATCAGGCAGCTGCAGAGCCTGCTGCTGGGGAAGATGTCTCACTGATGATGGACTAACGGTGAACTTGATCCTCCTTGATTTAGGTCGCAGATGAAACATGACAACTTAATTATTTTTGACCAAACCAGCATTTTTTCCCCTTATTGTCACAACTTTTTTGCTGTTACATATTTTCCCTTAAAGTATTTTTCCTCTAAATGCACTTTGACTTCTGTAACTTGTTCCTACAGAGACATAATAAATAAAAGTAAATTGTTTTATTTCTTCATTCCTGATGCTAGAGTTTTATATTCCAAAGTGGCTTTGGCTGTTCTCCGGGGTCCATTAATCTGACTTTATGCGTGATTCCAGATTATAATCAGTATAATTAGCAACAGGTTCAGCTGTCTCTCCCACGCTCCCTTAATTGTCCTCGGGTCTGCTGTCCTGTCAGCTGCAGCCTGCCTCTGACTCAGAACCAAAATGAAGAGCCAGCAGCTGCAGGGGGCGAGGGGAAGGATGTGGGCCATTATCCTGCAGAGGTGATGGTTACAGCTGGAAGTATGACTTTTACCATCCAGATAAGGTGGGCAGCACAGGAAGCAAGACTGACTTGACCAAACTGATATGAAAGAAGATGAAAGTCATCAGTTTAGTCACTGGGTTAGGATCAGGCTTTCTGCAACTTTTTAAATAATTTAGTGATATCGATATGTAATCTGTAATTTCTTTTGAAAGTTATTCCAAGAAGGGAGTGCTAAAATTCAAAAGCTCTTTGCAGAACTATGACAAACTTTAAATATCTGTTTTTTTCTGGGGGTGTGGTTATTAACTTTTAAAAATGGTGTAGAATAGGGTTTTTATTATGTGAGCAGTTGCAAATACATTCTTATGCATATATAACCAAAATGCACAAAATGAAGTAAAATAACTTTCCTGTGAAGGTGAACCACCCCCAAAACCACATCTTAGCCACCACAAGGGGAAAAACTTATCCGCCCCTGATGTGAATGCATGCTTTAATAGTTATGTTTAATATGTTTGAGTGTTTACCAGGAAAACAATAATCAGTTTTTATTACGTTAATTGGTTTTAAAAGCTCTAAATCAAATGGGTTCTTTAAAACAGCACTCAGTCATTTTGCGTTTCAGCTGTTGGTTCCTCATTAATGAGCTCTGAATGGCTGCAAAGCCCCTCCACCCCCTCATCCATCAGCCAGCCAGTTAAAGTCGTTCTGATAGCAGGCACTACTGTGGGTTCTGCAGAAGCAGGAGGTCTGTGCACGATGCAGCAGTGTGCCCGTCCCACTGGGCTGTCGGAGCTCCGGTGAGTTCTGCTGCTTCACACCACAGCACTGAAGGGAACCCAGCGCCTCATCTGCAGAGCTGAGCGCGCTGTCCGGACTCAAGAGGTAAGCGCTGAGTTTGGTTTTTGATCCATCTGCTGTAATTGATTTGAGTACCGGTTGGTTTTAATGGTTTTTAGTTTCGACTCGGTCTTCTGTAGTCGCTGAGTGGTGATATTATTTAACTTTTACAAATGCTTTTGAAGAACTTTTACGCAGCCATATTAAATGTTATAACCGCGCATTTAAGTCTTAAATGATGAAAGTGAAACTCCGTGCAGGGGCGCGCGCATCGCTCCGCGTGCCGTTTGGCACAACGTGCTGCACTATATTGATTTATTTGAAGAATCTGGGTTTTACTGGCCAGGGCACCTCGGGGTGTTTGTGGGAGTGGGCGCTTGACACAGTTACAGGCTCTGAGGTTGTGTGCTTCTCCCACGCTCCTCCGGGGATTTCTCACCGCGCACATCAAAGTGCGCCATGCGGGGCTGGATGCTCTCGCGTTCATGTTCAGCTACCTTAAAACTTAAAACGTGGGTTTAACTCACTGCTGTTGTGTCAGGATCATCTACTGGTGTTTTGCCTCCACAGTGGAGCTGGTGGAGGCTCCACCAACACAATGGGAAACGCTACTAAACACTTTTATTCGCCTTTATTTGTTTCATTAACTGTTATACCCCGCGACCCTATGGACAAACGGGTTCAGACAATGGATGGATGGATTAACTTTTATATTAAATTTTTCTGCAAAATGTTGAAATTTCTGGTCCAGCTTGTTTTGGGGGAGTCGATTATAGACATTAAAATGTTTACAGATAAAAAAAAAATACAGAATCAAATCTCAGGATTCAAGATAATTAGTCAGTACACAGTACTTTGTGCTCACTAAAGACAGCTCATGTAAGTGGTAGTAAAATATGAGTCAAATAATATAAGGCTAACATAAATGTTACTCTCTCTCTCTCTCTCTCTCTCTCTCTCTCTCTCTCTCTCTCTCTCTCTCTCTCTCTCTCTCTCTCACACACACACACAGGTGCAAAAATTCTAAAGTATAATGTAAACATGGTAATAAAACAAGTCTCAACTACAAACTCAAATATAAAGTGAACACAATATAAATGTAAACTGTCACATGTTGAGGTATCAGAATTAACTAGCTTAATGCACATTGCTGTCCAGCAGAATCACTGTTATTGGCGTCCTATTAGCAACATTCAGTTCAGTGATGGCTCTTGTGTAAAAGCAGTTTAACAGCCTGGTGGTGTTTTTATTTCCCTGTATCGTTTAAGGAATTTGAAGAGATGGTTAGCAGGGTGGGTTGAGTCCTTTTGGAAGTGTTTGGTTTTTCTAACCCCGGCTTTCCACGGGAGCCGTCAGCAGCACGTCATAGCTGCTGATAGGAACCGCTGTGGTCAACAGAACCTTTTCCACTGGAGCCGTCGGCAGCCGGCAGCAGCGCGAGTCGGCCGCGTCTCAGGAGCAGCATGTCGCGGCCTTTACGCGCCGGTTCTATTTCCTACGCGCGACGCCTCTGAAACGGGTCAAGTTCGACATTTTTGGGGAAGGAAAGACAGGAAATCGGACGCGGAAATGGAGAGAAGCTCCCGAGATTTTCAGAATAAAGAACGTACTGCCTTCCGGTCGCTTTACTTTAAAAAAGGTTACTAACTGTGCGGCCCCGTGAGAAGTTATCACCTAGCTAGCGGTCTCCTTTGTTTTTTCAGGTCCGTATTGGCGATTATAAAACGGACAGAACATAAAAACACAAATATTTTGGAGCCATGTTGTAGTGTTCTCCTGCTTGTTGTTGTGTTTACTGACGAAGTCACTCGTGTGACTTCGTGCTCTGTCGGTGACAGTTGCTCCCCTGCTGATTCGCGTCTCGTGGGAAGGGCGAAGCAGCAGCTTACGCGAGCAAGACGTGCTGCTGCAGTAACGTGCTGCTGACGGCTCCCGTGGAAACCCGGGGTAAGGCAGCGAGTGGTGAAGATGTCATCCAGGGCAGGCGGATGGGTGTTTGTTGTTTTCTCTGCAGTTTTGATTACTTTCTGCAGGGCCTTCCTGTCAGCTGCAGAGCTTCTGCCGTACCACACCGTGATGCTGTTGGTCAGGACACTCTCTATGGAGCAGTGATAAAATCATCTCAGCAGTGTTAGTGGCAAGATGAAGCTGATGTGATAAATGTGTCTAAATCGGTTTGAATTAAACAAAGTGATAAATATGTAAATCAGTGCTTCCCATATTGGGGTGGGACCCCCAAGGGATTCCCACAAGATTGCAGGTGGTCCCCATAATTTAGTCTGTGCTGAGTTTATGAGGGTAGCAAGATTTTACTAGCAAAAATTACATTTATAAAATTCTAATAACACACCCTACAGCAGGGGTCCTCAACTAAATTTGTTCAAAGGCTAGAGTTTTTTTTTCCAGCAGACACCTGAGGGCCAGTACCTCTTCTAAAATAAAGTTAAAGTATTATTGTATCTTAATTAATTAATATTCAAAATTGGTTTTCTATGTAAATTGTTTGGAGTATAGTTTTAGTTGTATTTGGAGAACATAAACAGTTATGATTTTTGGGACATTAATTTTGCTGCTAAACTTCAAAGTCCCCCAATCGAGGCACGCTAGGACCCAAAGTGTTGGAGAGCTGGGTGGAAAGGTCTGGCGGGCCGGATGTAGCCCGTGGGCCCCTGTTGGTACCAGATCTGCTCAGGGTCCTGCGCCTGCTGATGACGTCACTTTACTGCAAATCCACTCGATTTTCACACTTGTTTTGGAAAGACATCAGTAGTTTTGTTAATAAATAGTTGTTTGTTACCACCTAAATGTTTTCTTTATAATAGTAATTTGTTAATAAAACACCATATTATCTTTGTTTTGTAAAGAATGTGAAACTACATAAAATCAACATCAGACTGTATATTTCCTTAGTTGTTATGTAAATACATTAATTAATTCTTTCAAAATGTAGCTTGGTGTCTTTTCAACAAAGTTCTTATATTTTATTTAGCCCCGTTTAATCAAAATCAAGTGTTTTTGAGGGTCACCACTTATCAGTTGATATCTTTGCTTTTATTTTACATTTACTTTGGAAAGTCAAACATATTTTCTCCGAAAAGTTGATTTTTGGACTACATGACTAAAACCGCTAAGACTACAGCCGTAAATTAGTTCTGCCCAATCAAATTCATCATTGTCAACATGCTAACGTAACTTACATTCAGCCAATCATCTACTGTGACGTAATTTGCAGACGCAGGACCCCGAGCAGGTCTGGTACCAACACCGCCAGTTGAGTGTCACTGCCCTACAGCATAATCACAACTTCTTATAAAACGTATGTATGTATAAAGTATAAAGTTTGTAAATGATCACATTTAATGTGTATGCATGTAGGAGTTGGGATTGGGGGCCCTGGCTTGTCTTGGACACAGGCAGGGAGTCCTCAAAGGATAAAAGTTTAAGGAACTACTGATGAACGATAAAAAGCCTTACAACACAAAATGCATCTAATGAGGGATTATTCTTTACAATATAGTCTACCATAGTCTTCATTTTCCATACCTGTATGGGGCTGTTAACTTGGATATTTAGAATATTATGTAATCACCATTTCCCTTGTAGAGTTTGGCAAATTGAGTGCTTTAAGAGCTCAATAGATAAATTACCTCTACTTATGGCCAATAAGCTGTGATACTCTTATTTAAATACAGTGGTGTGAAAACCTATTTGCCCCCTTCCTGATTTCTTTTTCTTTTGCATGTTTGTCAAACAAAATGTTTCTGATCATCAAACACATTTAACCATTAGTCAAAGATAACACAAGTAAACACAAAATGCAGTTTTGAAATGATGGTTTTTATTATTTAGGGAGAGAACAAAATCCAAACTTACATTGCCTTGTGTGAAAAAGTAATTGCCCCCCTTGTTAAAAAATAACCCAACTGTGGTGTTTCACACCCGAGTTCAATTTCTGTAGCCACCCCCAAGCCTGATTACTGCCACACCTGTTTCAATCAAGAAATCAATAAATATGAGCTGCCTGACACAGAGAAGTAGACCAAAGGCACCTCAAAAGCTAGACATCATGCCAAGATCCAAAGAAATTCAAGAACAAATGAGAACAAAAGTAATTGAGATCTATCAGTCTGGTAAAGGTTATAAAGCCATTTCTAAAGAGACTCCAGCGAACCACAGTGAGAGCCATTATCCACAAATGGCAACAACATGAAACAGTGGTGAACCTTCCCAGGAGTGGGCGGCCGACCAAAATTACCCCAAGAGTGCAGAGACAACTCATCCGAGAGGTCACAGAAGACCCCAGGACAACTTCTAAAGAACTGCAGGTCTCACTTGCCTCAATCAAGGTCAGTGTTCACGACTCCACCATAAGAAAGAGACTGTGCAAAAATGGCCTGCATGGCAGATTTCCAAGACGCAAACCACTGTTAAGCAAAAAGAACATTAGGGCTCATCTCAGTTTTGCTAAGAAACATCTCAATGATTGCCAAGACTTTTGGGAAAATACCTTGTGGACTGATGAGACAAAAGTTGAACTTTTTAGAAGGCAAATGTCCCGTTACATCTGGCGTAGAAGTAACTCAGCATTTCAGACAAAGAACATCATACCAACAGTAAAATATGGTGGTGGTAGTGTGATGATCTGGGGTTGTTTTGCTGCTTCAGGAACTGGAAGGCTTGCTGTGATAAATGGAACCATGAATTCTACTGTCTACCAAAACATGCTGAAGGAGAATGTCCGGCCATCTGTTAGTCAACTAAAGCTGAAGTGATCTTGGGTGCTGCAGCAGGACAATGAACCAAAACACACCAGCAAATCCACCTCTGAATGGCTGAAGAACAACAAAATGAAGACTTTGGAGTGGCCTAGTCAAAGTCCTGACCTGAATCCTATTGAGATGCTATGGCATGACCTTAAAAAGGCGGTTCATGCTAGAAAACCCGCAAATAAAGCTGAATTACAACAATTCTGCAAAGATGAGTGGGCCAAAATTCCCCCAGAGCGCTGTAAAAGACTCATAGCAAGTTATCGCAAATGCTTGATT